ATAGACTCAACACTACCCATAGACTCAACACTGCCCATAGACTCAACACTCCCGATAGACTCAACACTGCCCATAGACTCAGCACTGCCCATAGACTAACACTGCCCATAGACTCAGCACTACCCATAGACTCAACACTACCCATAGACTCAACACTACCCATAGACTCAACACTGCCCATAGACTCAACACTGCCCATAGACTCAACACTGCCCATAGACTCAGCACTACCCATAGACTCAACACTACCCATAAACTCAACACTGCCCATAGACTCAACACTCCCCATAGACTCAACACTCCCGATAGACTCAACACTGCCCATAGACTCAACACTGCCCATAGACTCAACACTGCCCATAGACTCAACACTGCCCATAGACTCAACATTGCCCATAGACTCAACACTACCCATAGACTCAACACTGCCCATAGACTCAACATTGCCCATAGACTCAACACTGCCCATAGACTCAACACTGCCCATAGACTCAACACTGCCCATAGACTCAACACTACCCATAGACTCAACACTACCCATAGACTCAACACTGCACCATAGACTCAACACTGCACTATAGACTCAACACTACCCATAGACTCAACACTACCCATAGACTCAACACTGCACCATAGACTCAACACTGCCCATAGACTCAACACTGCCCATAGACTCAACACTGCCCATAGGCTCAACACTACCCATAGACTCAACACTGCCCATAGACTCAACACTGCCCATAGACTCAACACTGCACCATAGACTCAACACTGCACCATAGACTCAACACTGCCCATAGACTCAACACTACCCATAGACTCAACACTACCCATATACTCAACACTGCCCATAGACTCAACACTACCCATAGACTCAACACTGCCTATAGACTCAACACTGCCTATAGACTCAACACTGCCCATAGGCTCAACACTGCACCATAGACTCAACACTGCACCATAGACTCAACACTACCCATAGACTCAACACTGCCCATAGACTCAACACTGCACCATAGACTCAACACTACCCATAGACTCAACACTGCCCATAGACGCAACACTACCCATAGACTCAACACTGCCCATAGACTCAACACTACCCATAGACTCAACGCAGCCCATAGACTCAACACTGCCCATAGACTCAACACTACCCATAGACTCAACACTGCCCATAGACTCAACACTGCCCATAGACTCAACACTGCCCATAGACTCAACACTGCCCATAGACTCAACACTGCCCATAGACTCAACACTGCCCATAGACTCAACACTACCCATAGACTCAACACTACCCATAGACTCAACACTGCCCATAGACTCAACACTACCCATAGACTCAACACTGCCCATAGACTCAACACTACCCATAGACTCAACACTACCCATAGACTCAACACTGCACCATAGTCTCAACACTACCCATAGACTCAACACTGCCCATAGACTCAACACTGCCCATAGACTCAACACTACCCATAGACTCAACACTGCCCATAGACTCAACACTGCCCATAGACTCAACACTACCCATAGACTCAACACTACCCATAGACTCAACACCGCCCATAGACTCGACACTGCACCATAGACTCAACACTACCCATAGACTCAACACTGCCCATAGACTCAACACTACCCATAGACTCAACACTGCCCATAGACTCAACACTGCCCATAGACTCAACACTACCCATAGACTCAACACTACCCATAGACTCAACACTGCCCATAGACTCAACACTGCCCATAGACTCAACACTGCCCATAGACTCAACACTACCCATAGACTCAACACTGCACCATAGTCTCAACACTACCCATAGACTCAACACTGCCCATAGACTCAACACTGCCCATAGACTCAACACTGCCCATAGACTCAACACTGCCCATAGACTCAACACTGCCCATAGACTCGACACTGCCCATAGACTCGACACTGCACCATAGACTCAACACTACCCATAGACTCGACACTGCCCATAGACTCAACACTACCCATAGACTCAACACTGCCCATAGACTCAACACTGCACCATAGACTCAACACTACCCATAGACTCAACACTGCCCATAGACTCAACACTGTCCATAGACTCAACACTGCCCATAGACTCAACACTACCCATAGACTCAACACTGCCCATAGACTCAACACTGCCCATAGACTCAACACTACCCATAGACTCAACACTACCCATAGACTCAACACCGCCCATAGACTCGACACTGCACCATAGACTCAACACTACCCATAGACTCAACACTGCCCATAGACTCAACACTACCCATAGACTCAACACTGCCCATAGACTCAACACTGCCCATAGACTCAACACTACCCATAGACTCAACACTACCCATAGACTCAACACTGCCCATAGACTCAACACTGCCCATAGACTCAACACTGCCCATAGACTCAACACTACCCATAGACTCAACACTGCACCATAGTCTCAACACTACCCATAGACTCAACACTGCCCATAGACTCAACACTGCCCATAGACTCAACACTGCCCATAGACTCAACACTGCCCATAGACTCAACACTGCCCATAGACTCGACACTGCCCATAGACTCGACACTGCACCATAGACTCAACACTACCCATAGACTCGACACTGCCCATAGACTCAACACTACCCATAGACTCAACACTGCCCATAGACTCAACACTGCACCATAGACTCAACACTACCCATAGACTCAACACTGCCCATAGACTCAACACTGTCCATAGACTCAACACTGCCCATAGACTCAATACTGCACCATAGACTCAACACTACCCATAGACTCAACACTGCCCATAGACTCAACACTGCCCATAGACTCAACACTGCCCATAGACTCAACACTGCCCATAGACTCAACACTGCCCATAGACTCAATACTGCCCCATAGACTCAATACTGCATCATAGACTCAACATTGCCCATAGACTCAACACTACCCATAGACTCAACACTGCCCATAGACTCAACATTGCCCATAGACTCAACACTGCCCATAGACTCAACACTGCCCATAGACTCAGCACTACCCATAGACTCAACACTACCCATAGACTCAACACTGCACCATAGACTCAACACTACCCATAGACTCAACACTGCCCATAGACTCAACACTCCCCATTGACTCAACACTGTCCATAGACTCAACACTGCCCATAGACTCAACACTGCCCATAGACTCAACACTCCCCATAAACTCAACACTGCCCATAGACTCAACACTGCCCATAGACTCAACACTGCCCATAGACTCAACATTGCCCATAGACTCAACACTACCCATAGACTCAACACTGCCCATAGACTCAACATTGCCCATAGACTCAACACTGCCCATAGACTCAACACTGCCCATAGACTCAACACTGCACCATAGACTCAACACTACCCATAGACTCAACACTGCCCCATAGACTCAATACTGCATCATAGACTCAACATTGCCCATAGACTCAACACTGCCCATAGACTCAACACTGCCCATAGACTCAACACTGCCCATAGACTCAACATTGCCCATAGACTCAACATTGCCCATAGACTCAACACTGCCCATAGACTCAACACTGCCCATAGACTCAACACTGCCCATAGACTCAGCACTACCCATAGACTCAACACTACCCATAGACTCAACACTGCCCATAGACTCAACACTCCCCATAGACTCAACACTCCCGATAGACTCAACACTGCCCATAGACTCAGCACTGCCCATAGACTAACACTGCCCATAGACTCAGCACTACCCATAGACTCAACACTACCCATAGACTCAACACTGCCCATAGACTCAACACTGCCCATAGACTCAACACTGCCCATAGACTCAGCACTACCCATAGACTCAACACTACCCATAAACTCAACACTGCCCATAGACTCAACACTCCCCATAGACTCAACACTCCCGATAGACTCAACACTGCCCATAGACTCAACACTGCCCATAGACTCAACACTGCCCATAGACTCAACATTGCCCATAGACTCAACACTACCCATAGACTCAACACTGCCCATAGACTCAACATTGCCCATAGACTCAACACTGCCCATAGACTCAACACTGCCCATAGACTCAACACTGCCCATAGACTCAACACTACCCATAGACTCAACACTACCCATAGACTCAACACTGCACCATAGACTCAACACTGCACTATAGACTCAACACTACCCATAGACTCAACACTACCCATAGACTCAACACTGCACCATAGACTCAACACTGCCCATAGACTCAACACTGCCCATAGACTCAACACTACCCATAGACTAACACTGCCCATAGACTCAACACTGCCCATAGACTCAACACTACCCATAGACTCAACACTGCACCATAGACTCAACACTGCACCATAGACTCAACACTGCCCATAGACTCAACACTGCACCTCCGTTTAGCACGGTTGGCTACGTACGGCGCGAGTAAAGAAGTTCTACATTCACACACAAACGTTATCACTTGAGGACCCGGTTCAATCGCACGCGGTGGCTGAACCTGGGTTGGAACCCAGGCTCTCGGCGGTGCCGGCTCCCCCCTGTCTCTAACCTCCGAGCTGCCCCCCGGTCACTTCCGGGCAATTTGTCTCTATTGTTTGAAGGGCCGTCTTCTGCCAACTTTCTGTACTGCCGCCGACTGCAGGCATCCACTTCGCTGCCCATGGCGTGGTTTACTGGCGTGGTTCATAGTCGTCATCCTACAAAGTTGATATGAGGCGCACTGTGTCACTGTCTGACACACACTCTGACAACAACAACAACCGCCATTCGCCACACTAAGTGGCGGTGACGTCATCACGGCGCTTGTGCCAGGCTAGGTGCACGTTGAGGCCACGTGAAGTGTCGAACGCCCGCTGGCAGGAGGTCACGGGGCAGACCCAGCAGGTGCCGTGCGTTGACTGACTGAGATGACTGGCAGAAAGCTCGCACGCCCTGACAGCCGCCCTGACACCCAGGCCCTGGAGCCGCTGGTGCCTCCTGAGGAGCTGGTGTACACGCACCGCGTCGTCGAGAATTTCGGCAAATCGGGCGGCCTGGGTGAGGTGCTGCAGGCTCGGCTGGAGCGCAAGGCTCAGCGCTCCGACAACTGGGTGAGTCCGCGTCCCCGTGCGTGTCCCCGCATTCCCGTGAGTGTCCCCACGTCCCTGTGCGTGTCCCCACGTCCCCACGTCCCCACGTCCCCCACATCCCCGTGTATCCCCACGCAGTCCTGTGTCCCGTGTTCCGCTCTTGTTCCCCACGTTCCCCCTCCCCCCCCCCCCCCCCCCCCCCCCCCCCCTCTCTCCCTCCCATCTCCCCGCACAGCTGCGGGAGTGGTGGATGAAGACGACCTTCCTGGAGAATCGCTGCTCGCTGGCCGTCCACTCCAACCCGGGCGTCGTGCTGCCCAGACAGGACTTCCATGACACGCAGGGCCAGCTCAGGTGCGGCCTCCTTCAGCACTCCCGAGACAAAATCCGTCGCTTTCCCTCCCGGCTTTCAGAACTTTCCGCATTAGAGGCGTGACATTTTTTTCCTTTCTTTCAGTGGGGGCATTTTTTGTTGTTCCGATTTTTGTCCCGAGTCCCGCAACGAGCATCCTTCAGCGGCGCCCGGCCGTGGGTGGCGGTGGCCGACTTGGCGGGCGCCGCCAAGTTGGGCGGGCGACACCACCCATGGGGGACATCGCCAGGTCGCCTCTCATAAAGGGCTACGCAGCTCAGTGGGCTGCACCTGGTTCAAATACAAAACAGTTGAGTCCTTAGTTGTTCATATTCTTAGCTCTTTCGGTAAAGTCACGTTGAAGGGAAACAATAAAATGTGCCGACCGTTTGTGTTATGGTCGAAACGTCGTGAGAATTTTTCTTGTTTTATATATATATTTTATTATTTTATTGTTTCCCTTCAACGTGACTTTACCGAAAGAGCTAAGAATATGAATTACTGCAGTCACGAAAGCTTTAAATCAAAATTTCCTTAGTTGTTGTTAAAACTCCGACCCCCCCCCCCCACCCAGACCCAGAGAGGCCCGCGGGCAGCTGTGGGCGAGAGAGAGGGGGGGGGGGGCGCCCCACCGACCTGGAGATGGAGCGACGGAATCCGCCGATCGCGTGCGTCGCGAGCGAGACGGCCCCGTGACTCCGGCGTGCGCGTCTCTCCTCCACCCCCCCCCCCACGTCGTTGTGCAGGTTCGCGGCCAAGCTCATCAGCGCGGTGCTGAGATTCAAGGCCCTCGTCGATGGGTGAGTGGACGAGCAAAAACGGAGAGATCCCTTCCCCCCCCCCCTCCCCTCTCTCCTCTTCCTCTCCCGCCTCCCCCGTGTAGCCTTTGACGCTTTCCCGTGCCGACGACGTACCAGTTCTTCTGATATGTCGTCGGGGGGGGTTGGGATCAGAATGTGCCAACCGTTGCCGCTCTGTGCCAGCGTCCCCCCGTGCGGGAGTCTCTCCGTACTCGTCGGGGTCTCCGCTGACCGTCTACACCGCCGCAGTGGTTCCTCGCTAATCTTCAGACCGGGGGGGGGTGGGGGCAGTTTCGCCGGTAAGACATCATCGGTGCGAGAAGGGCCGCCGCGTTATTTGAAACCACTGGGAGGCCACCGTGGGGCCTGCCAGCGGGAACCTTGCGGCGAAGAACGCCGCTCTGCGCAACACGACGGGGTTACCGCCCGCCCGCCCGCCCGCCCGCCCGTCGTGTGCGAATCCACGACCCCCTGACTCCCTCGTACGCCCACTCCGCCCCCCCCCCCCCCCCCCCCCCACCACCACCAGCGAGACCCTGCAGGGGAACCTGCACCGGGGCCGCCCCCTCTGCATGGACCAGTACCGCCGCATCTTCTCGTCGTGCCGCGTGCCGGGCCCGCGCCACGACACCGTCGTCAACTACGCGCTCCAGCGCGGCGGCAACAAGCCGCAGCACATCACCGTGGCGCACAACTACCAGGCGAGCCCCCCACCCCCAGCCCCCCACGCCCCTGCCCCCCCGGTGTTGCCAGAGAGAGGGAGCAGCTGGGTTCGACTCTCGGTTTGGGTCGTGCACATTTACAGCCGCTTGGGGAACCCGGTTTAACCGCGCACCGCTCAAGTAACACTGCCGGGTAATGCGGTGGTGGTGGTGGTGGTGACGGTGACGGTGGTGTAAAGATTATAACCTGCAAACGAGTTTTAACGATTTGCACGCGAAACTGCAAGCTGAAACTGAAGATTCAACTATTCTTTTTTCTGCCCGGTGAGTTGCCGCACCGAGCCATATTGTTTTTCATGCAAGCGACCTGGCCATCGCAAATGATAGTTCAACCACGTGGGGAAAATTTTCGAGCTAGCGGCGAGGTGCTCCAGACGCGTGCTGTTGATTCTTAACGTGGGAGGGGAAAACACACGGGAGGACCCGGGGAGACCGCCGTCCCCTCGTTGACGACCGCACGTGAACTCGCCTCTCAGCCCTGCAGCGGCGTGACCTTGCTAGAAGGGTGGGGGGCAGTGTGGCGGGAGGGTGGTGGGGGGGGTGGCATAAAACCCAACTCCCTTGCCTCTCTCCTGCTCCTTGAGCACCTTGGCCTCGGGATTTTCGTCCGTGGAATATCTGTACCACCCACCCCTCCCGCCACAGCTCCGCCCCACTTCACCACTCTCGCTCTCGACCGGGCTCTTGTTCAAGTAAATCAATCAAAGGGGGGGGGGCTTACAAAGGGGGGGGGGGGGTGGGGTGGGTGGCGCCGCGGTAGGCGAGATGTTGACTACCTCGCTTGGTATGCAGGAGGTCGTAGGTTCAATCCCAACGGTGCCGCCTGCTGTATATTTGGAGCTTGCGTGTCTCTCTGTCTCTCTCTCCGTGGTGGTGGTCACGTTGTTATGTTTCCGAGTCCTCCGTTTTTGTTTTTCCCCTCTGCGTTGAAAATCGAGCGTCTGTATTATTTAGATTCGTTCGCTGCGACGAAGTTCCACACGACGGCGATGACGACGACGATGATGATGATGAGCCACTGCGTTGAGCTATCGATTATGATGCCCAGGTCGCTTGCGAAAGTGCCGTGCAGCTCAGTGGGGCCTTACTTGGTGAAATTTTAAAAAAAGTTTAAAGGGGGGGAGATGGGGAGCGGGGGGGGGTGGTGGGGGGGTGGTTGTGACGTGTTGGCCACCCACACCCTTCGTGTGCAGTGCCGACCTTCATAGGCGCTCCTCGCTTACAGCACTTGCCCCCCCCCAACGGTCTGCGAGCGAGTGAGTGTGGTGTAAGTTGGTGAGCGCGTGGAGTTGGTGTATTCTCTCCCCGTTCTGTTGCTTTCTCCGGTTTCCACCCGTAGCTAAAAGACAAAGAGCAAAGCCATACCGCGCCACTGGTATTGTCCCAGAACGTCCCCAGTGTTGCTCAATGACGCCGCTAATTAAACTCATCTCTCTTCTTGGTTCTTTCGGTAAAGTCACGTAGATGGGAAATAATGAAATAAGAGAAAATAAAATGAAATTCTCACGACGTTTCGGCCACAACGCAAGCAGCCGTCCTCGGGTGAAGAAACGGAACTGTCGGAAAGACAGCGCTCCAATCATTTGTGGCTGTCTTTCCGACAATTCTGTTTCTTCACCCGAGGACGGCCGCTTGCGTTGTGGCCGAAACTTCGTGAGAATTTTATTTTATTACGTTTTATTATTTCCCTTCTACGTGACTTTACCGAAAGAACCCAAGAAGATGAATCCCTGCAGTCACGAAAGCTTTAAATCGAAACTAATCTACGTTGTATTTTACCAGGTAAGGCTCACTGAGCTATGTACAGCTCTTTTTCTCGTAAGCGACCTGGCCACAAATGATGGCTCAGCGTAGGTGGATTATCATCATCGTCGTGTGGAAGTTTCTAGCAGCAGCCAAATAACTCAAAACTTATGACGTTGACTCTAAATGTAGAGAGGGAAAAACCGGTGGACCCGGAGAGAAATCCACACGACCACGGGGAGAGAGAGAGAGAGAGACACGCAAACTCCAAATATACAGCAGGCGTCAGGGTCTGGGATCGAACCCACAACCTCCTGTATACCAGGCGAGGTAGTTAACATCTCCTAGCCACCGTGGCGCCCCTAATTACTCAAATAGGATCACGCCACAGCAGTTAGCAACATCGCCCCCCCCCCCCCCGCCCCCTAACCCCTCCTGAAATATAACCAAGTGTCTTGTGACTCAGCGGGGGTCTCACCTGGACAAGAAAGTGTCACGACGAACAGTCATAACACAGTCACCCGTGCTTGCGTGCGTGCGTGCGTGCAGTTCTTCCAGCTGGACGTCTACGACAGTCAAGGCGTGGTGCTGACCACCGAACAGCTGTACTGGCAGCTGGAGAAGATCTGGAACCTGTCCATCAAGACCACCAAGGAGCCCATCGGCATCCTCACCGCGGAGCACCGCAACCGCTGGGGCACCGGCCACGACATTCTCATTCGAGGTACCAGCCGGGGCGGCGGCGGTGGGTGGGGGGGGGGGGGGGGGGGGGGCAGCTGACGGGGAGACAAAGGCGGCCGGGCGTGGTGCTGCTGGTCACCCCACCCCTTCGTGTGCCGTGCCGGCCTTCGTAGGCGCCGCCACTCGCTGGCAGCACTTGCCCCTGCGGTCTGGTTCAGGCTACACGGGGGATCTTTGTTTTTGTGCGCGTGCGCTTGCCCCGCGACGCTTCGCCGCCCACCTGCCCCCCCCCCGCATCGCTCCCCCCCTTCCCCCCCCACCCATGCTGCCCCCCCGCCCCGAGCGAAGTCTTTCGGTCGTCCACCGTCTGTCCCACGTGTACGTGCGTAGGTACGTGTGTTTGTCTTTGTGTGTACGTGCGTAGGTGCGTGTGTTTGTCTTTGTGTGTACGTGCATAGGTGCGTGTGTTTGTCTTTGTGTGTGCGTGCGTAGGTGCGTGTGCTTGTCTTTGTGTGTACGTGCATAGGTACGTGTGTTTGTCTTGGTGTGTACGTGCGTGCGTAGGTGCGTGTGTTTGTCTTTGTGTGTGCGTGCGTAGGTACGTGTGTTTGTCTTTGTGTGTGCGTGCGTAGGTGCGTGTGTTTGTCTTTGTGTGTGCGTGCGTAGGTAGGTACGTGTGTTTGTCTTTGTGTGTACGTGCGTAGGTGCGTGTGTTTGTCTTTGTGTGTGTGTGCGTAGGTGCGTGTGTTTGTCTTTGCGTGTACGTGCGTAGGTACGTGTGTTTGTCTTTGTGTGTGTGTGCGTAGGTACGTGTGTTTGTCTTTGTGTGTGTGTGCGTAGGTACGTGTGTTTGTCTTTGTGTGTGTGTGCGTGCGTAGGTACGTGTGTTTGTCTTTGCGTGTGCGTGCGTAGGTGCGTGTGTTTGTCTTTGTGTGTGCGTGCGTAGGTACGTGTGTTTGTCTTTGCGTGTACGTACGTGCGTAGGTGCGTGTGTTTGTCTTTGCGTGTGCGTGCGTAGGTACGTGTGTTTGTCTTTGCATGTGCGTGCGTAGGTACGTGTGTTTGTCTTTGCGTGTGCGTGCGTAGGTGCGTGTGTTTGTCTTTGTGTGTGCGTGCGTAGGTGCGTGTGTTTGTCTTTGCGTGTGCGTGCGTAGGTACGTGTGTTTGTCTTTGTGTGTAGGTGCGTGTGTTTGTCTTGGTGTGTACGTGCGTGCGTAGGTGCGTGTGTTTGTCTTTGTGTGTGCGTGCGTAGGTACGTGTGTTTGTCTTTGTGTGTGCGTGCGTAGGTGCGTGTGTTTGTCTTTGTGTGTGCGTGCGTAGGTGCGTGTGTTTGTCTTTGCGTGTGCGTGCGTAGGTACGTGTGTTTGTCTTTGTGTGTAGGTGCGTGTGTTTGTCTTTGTGTGTACGTGCGTAGGTGCGTGTGTTTGTCTTTGTGCGTAGGTGCGTGTGTTTGTCTTTGTGTGTACGTGCGTAGGTGCGTGTGTTTGTCTTTGTGTGTAGGTGCGTGTGTTTGTCTTTGCGTGTACGTGCGTGCGTAGGTACGTGTGTTTGTCTTTGCGTGTGCGTGCGTAGGTACGTGTGTTTGTCTTTGCGTGTACGTGCGTAGGTACGTGTGTTTGTCTTTGCGTGTACGTGCGTAGGTGCGTGTGTTTGTCTTTGCGTGTACGTGCGTGCGTAGGTACGTATGTTTGTCTTTGTGTGTACGTGCGTAGGTGCGTGTGTTTGTCTTTGTGTGTACGTGCGTAGGTGCGTGTGTTTGTCTTTGTGTGTGTGTGCGTGCGTAGGTACGTGTGTTTGTCTTTGCGTGTACGTGCGTGCGTAGGTACGTGCGTTTGTCTTTGCGTGTACGTGCGTAGGTACGTGTGTTTGTCTTTGTGTGTGTGTGCGTAGGTACGTGTGTTTGTCTTTGTGTGTGTGTGCGTGCGTAGGTACGTGTGTTTGTCTTTGCGTGTGCGTGCGTAGGTACGTGTGTTTGTCTTTGTGTGTGCGTGCGTAGGTACGTGTGTTTTGTCTTTGTGTGTACGTGCGTAGGTGCGTGTGTTTGTCTTTGCGTGTACGTGCGTAGGTACGTGTGTTTGTCTTTGTGTGTACGTGCGTAGGTGCGTGTGTTTGTCTTTGTGTGTGTGTGCGTAGGTACGTGTGTTTGTCTTTGTGTGTACGTGCGTAGGTACGTGTGTTTGTCTTTGCGTGTACGTGCGTAGGTACGTGTGTTTGTCTTTGTGTGTACGTGCGTAGGTACGTGTGTTTGTCTTTGTGTGTGTGTGCGTAGGTACGTGTGTTTGTCTTTGTGTGTACGTGCGTAGGTACATGTGTTTGTCTTTGTGTGTGCGTGCGTAGGTACGTGTGTTTGTCTTTGTGTGTGTGTGCGTGCGTAGGTACGTGTGTTTGTCTTTGCGTGTAGGTGCGTGTGTTTGTCTTTGTGTGTACGTGCGTAGGTACGTGTGTTTGTCTTTGCGTGTACGTGCCATGCGTGGGGAGCGGTCGCGTAGTGGTTCGCGCCACGCTGCGCTATGAACCCGCCGGCGCTGGTTCGATTCCCGCTCACGGCCAACGTCGGTGACGGTTATCTGAACCGGTGCTGGGTCTCCCCTAGGTCGACTGGGCCTCCAAATGACTTACCCGCTACTGCTGTGTGCAAACATCGCCGCTGGGGAGACAAAGGCGGGCCGGACGTGGATGCTGACCACCCACCCCCCTCGTGTGCCGTGCCGGTCCTCATAGCTGCTCGCCAGCAGCACTTGCCCCCCGCGTGTGACACGTGCGCTCTGCCCTGCGTGTGACACGTGCCCTCTGCCCTGCGTGTGACACGTGCGCTCTGCCCTGCGTGTGACACGTGCGCTTGCCCCGTGCGTGTGACACGTGCCCTCTGCCCTGCGTGTGACACGTGCGCTTGCCCCATGCGTGTGACACGTGCGCTTGCCCCGTGCATGTGACACATGCACTTGCCCCATGCGTGTGACACGTGCGCTTGCCCCATGCGTGTGACACGTGCGCTTGCCCCCCGCGTGTGACACGTGCCCTCTGCCCTGCGTGTGACACGTGCACTTGCCCCATGCGTGTGACACGTGCCCTCTGCCCTGCGTGTGACACGTGCACTTGCCCCCGTGCGTGTGACACGTGCCCTCTGCCCTGCGTGTGCGCGTCGCAGACAAGCTGAACCGCGAATCGACGCGCGTCATCCAGCAGAGCATCTTCGCCGTGTGCCTGGACGCGCCGATGCCGCCCACCACGGGCGAGGAGGACATGCAGCTGAGCCGCATGTCGGCGGAGATCCTGCACGGGGGCGGCAGCCACGCCAACTCGGGCAACCGCTGGTTCGACAAGACGCTGCAGGTGCGTGCGTGCGTGCGTGCGAAGCATGTCTGTCGGCATCGTCTTCTGTCGCACGGGCTGCTGATGTGGGTGCCGAGCAGTGGCTGCGTTTCTGACAGAGTCACTACTTCAGCACACCGGTGCGTGGCGGAGAGTTAAGCCGCGACATTTACAATAAGCGCGCTGTGACGTTTCGCGGGTGTGATTACGACCGGCTTCGCCAGAACGATGGCGATGACGGCCATCACTTGGTGGTTTGAGGAGAACGTGACGACGACGACGATGGAGAGATGAGGGCTGTGACGACCGGGCCTCACCTGTGTCCGTGCGAGATAATGACGGCGATCTTCATCTTCGTGTCATGAGGCTGCTGATGTTGACGCAGAGCCAGCAACTTACAATGTCACATTCAGGTGGTCAAGCCAGCGGACAACCGCATCGGGAGCCGGCGGAGATGTTTTATCATCATCATCATCATCATCGCTGTGATGTCGCCTTCTTCGTGTTTGTGGCTAGGGGCATTGCACCATTACATGTTGCACTACGGTCTCTGTTATGGATGACCAGTCGCACGACACTACTACTGCTGGAAAATCTAGATAGATACTACTGCTGGAAAATCTAGATAGATACTACTGCTGGAAAATCTAGATAGATACTACTGCTGGAAAATCTAGATAGATACTACTGCTGGAAAATCTAGATAGATACTACTGCTGGAAAATCTATATAGATACTACTGCTAGAAAATCTAGATAGATGCTACTGCTGGAAAATCTATATAGATACTACTGCTGGAAAATCTAGATAGATACTACTGCTGGAAAATCTAGATAGATACTACTGCTGGAAAATCTAGATAGATACTACTGCTGGAAAATCTAGATAGATACTACTGCTGGAAAATCTAGATAGATACTACTGCTGGAAAATCTAAATAGATACTACTGCTGGAAAATCTAGATAGATACTACTGCTGGAAAATCTAGGTAGATACTACTGCTGGAAAATCTAAATAGATACTACTGCTGGAAAATCTAGATAGATACTACTGCTGGAAAATCTAGATAGATACTACTGCTGGAAAATCTATATAGATACTACTGCTGGAAAATCTAGATAGATACTACTGCTGGAAAATAAATAGATACTACTGCTGTAAAATCTAGATAGATACTACTGCTGGAAAATAAATAGATACTACTGCTGTAAAATCTAGATAGATACTACTGCTGGAAAATAAATAGATACTACTGCTGTAAAATCTAGATAGATACTACTGCTGTAAAATCTAAATAGATACTACTGCTGTAAAATCTAGATAGATACTACTGCTGGAAAATAAATAGATACTACTGCTGTAAAATCTAGATAGATACTACTGCTGGAAAATCTAAATAGATACTACTGCTGGAAAATCTAGATAGATACTACTGCTGGAAAATCTAAATAGATACTACTGCTGGAAAATATAGATAGATACTACTGCTGGAAAATCTAAATAGATACTACTGCTGGAAAATCTAGATAGATACTACTGCTGGAAAATCTAGATAGATACTACTGCTGGAAAATCTAGATAGATGCTACTGCTGGAAAATCTAGATAGATACTACTGCTGGAAAATCTAAATAGATGCTACTGCTGGAAAATCTAGATAGATGCTACTGCTGGAAAATCTAGATAGATACTACTGCTGGAAAATCTAGATAGATACTACTGCTGGAAAATCTAGATAGATACTACTGCTGGAAAATCTATATAGATACTACTGCTGGAAAATCTAGATAGATACTACTGCTGGAAAATCTACATAGATACTACTGCTGGAAAATCTAAATAGATGCTACTGCTGGAAAATATAGATAGATGCTACTGCTGGAAAATCTAGATAGATACTACTGCTGGAAAATGTAGATAGATACTAGTGCTGGAAAATCTAGATAGATACTACTGCTGGAAAATCTATATAGATACTACTGCTGGAAAATCTAGATAGATACTACTGCTGGAAAATCTACATAGATACTACTGCTGGAAAATCTAAATAGATGCTACTGCTGGAAAATATAGATAGATGCTACTGCTGGAAAATCTAGATAGATACTACTGCTGGAAAATCTAGATAGATACTACTGCTGGAAAATCTAGATAGATACTACTGCTGGAAAATCTAAATAGATGCTACTGCTGGAAAATATAGATAGATGCTACTGCTGGAAAATCTAGATGGATACTACTGCTGGAAAGTCTAGATAGATACTACTGCTGGAAAATCTAGATAGATACTACTGCTGGAAAATCTAGATAGACACTACGGCTGGAAAATCTAAATAGATACTACTGCTGGAAAATCTAGATAGATACTACTGCTGGAAAATCTAAATAGATACTACTGCTGGAAAATCTAGATAGATACTACTGCTGGAAAATCTAGATAGATACTACTGCTGGAAAATCTAGATAGATACTACTGCTGGAAAATCTAAATATATACTACTGCTGGAAAATCTAGATAGATACTACTGCTGGAAAATCTATATAGATTCTACTGCTGGAAAATCTAGATAGATACTACTGCTGGAAAATCTACATAGATACTACTGCTGGAAAATCTAAATAGATGCTACTGCTGGAAAATATAGATAGATGCTACTGCTGGAAAATCTAGATAGATACTACTGCTGGAAAATGTAGATAGATACTACTGCTGGAAAATCTAGATAGATACTACTGCTGGAAAATCTATATAGATACTACTGCTGGAAAATCTAGATAGATACTACTGCTGGAAAATCTACATAGATACTACTGCTGGAAAATCTAAATAGATGCTACTGCTGGAAAATATAGATAGATGCTACTGCTGGAAAATCTAGATAGATACTACTGCTGGAAAATCTAGATAGATACTACTGCTGGAAAATCTAGATAGATACTACTGCTGGAAAATCTAGATAGATGCTACTGCTGGAAAATATAGATAGATGCTACTGCTGGAAAATCTAGATGGATACTACTGCTGGAAAGTCTAGATAGATACTACTGCTGGAAAATCTAGATAGATACTACTGCTGGAAAATCTAGATAGACACTACGGCTGGAAAATCTAAATAGATACTACTGCTGGAAAATCTAGATAGATACTACTGCTGGAAAATCTAAATAGATACTACTGCTGGAAAATCTAGATAGATACTACTGCTGGAAAATCTAGATAGATACTACTGCTGGAAAATCTAGATAGATACTACTGCTGGAAAATCTAAATCGATACTACTGCTGGAAAATCTAGATAGATACTACTGCTGGAAAATCTAGATAGATACTACTGCTGGAAAATCTAGATAGATACTACTGCTGGAAAATCTAGATAGATACTACTGCTGGACAATCTAGATAGATACTACTGCTGGAAAATCTAGATAGATACTACTGCTGGAAAATCTAGATAGACACTACTGCTGGAAAATCTAAATAGATACTACTGCTGGAAAATCTAGATAGATACTACTGCTGGAAAATCTAGATAGATACTACTGCTGGAAAATCTAGATAGATACTACTGGAAAGTTTCAAATTTTCCATTTCTGCATCCGGTATCATCCGCGGCTGCTGCTGCTGCTGCCGTGGTTTGTGCGGTTGCGGTTTTAGGGTGGACCATGAGCTTCGTGAAAGATCAAACACAGGACGTTTGTGTGTCTGTAGTTTGGCACAGCAGGTGGCACAGGTGGTGCACCCTGCCAGCCATCTCAGTCGGTCAACCCATATCACCTGGGTCTGTCCCGTGACCTCCTGCCGGCGAGCATTCGACACTTCACGTGGCCTCGGGAGTGCGCCTGGCCTGGCACAAGCGGCGTGGTGAAGTCACCGCCACTTAATGGCGAATGGCTGGCTGTTCTTGTTGTTGAGTGTGTGCGTGTGTTGAGCGGTAGTCCAGCGGTAAGCGCGCCGCGCTACGAACCCTGCAACCCGAGTTCGATTCCTGCTCACTGCCAACATCAGTGACGATTATCTGAACCGGTCCTGGGCCTCCCCTAGGTCGACTCAGCCTCACACGAGTACCGGCTGCGGTGTGTAGTAAACATCGCCACTGGGGAGACAAAGGCGGCCGGGCGTGGTGCTGGCGACCCACCCACTCGTGATGCGTTGCCGGCCATCATAGCTGCTCGCCAACAGCACGTGCCCCGACAGTCTGCTAAGGGCTACACGGGGGATCTTTGTTTTGCCACGTGTTGAGATGGTATCGCGATCGACCCGGCGCACCTGCCCATGAACTCATTGCTCCATCGCCGTCTCTGTGTGTGTGTGTCTGGCCTGCGACGTGCTGCCCCGTCGCCGCACCCCCCCATGCTGTGCCACCCCCCCCCCCCCCCCCCCCAGTTTGTGGTGGGCGAGGACGGCACATGCGGGCTGCTGTATGAGCGCGCCGTGGCCGAGGGCGTGCCCATCATGCGCATTGCCGACTACGCAGTGGCCGACTGGTGAGTAAGCACGATGGGCTAGGACGATGGGGCGCTGCGATGGGGCCTATGGCAGGGCGTGTTTGATCGGCGTGCGTTTACTTCCTGACGCGACGGCGCGGTTCGGAAATGCGCGTATACCAGGCGAGGTAGTCAACATCTCCTAGCAACCGTGATGATGATGATGATGAGCGAGAGAGACACGCAAACTCCAAATATTGAGCAGCAGGTGTCAGGGTCAGGATCGAACCCACGACCTCCTGTATACCAGGCGAGGTAGTCAACATCTCCTAGCAACCGTGATGATGATGATGAGAGAGAGACACGCAAACTCCAAATATACAGCAGCAGGCGTCAGGGTCAGGATGGAACCCACGACCTCCTGTACACCAGGCAAGAGAGTTAACATTTCGCCACTGCTGCGTCCCAACGAGCACACCGGTGCCTCCTGCCCCCTCCCGACTCCTCCTCCCCACCTCCAATGGGCAGGGGGGAGGTGCCTGCCCTTTGGAGTCACGATCGAAACCACGACCTCCTGTATAGCAGGTGAGGTAGTTACCATCTCCTAGCCACGGTGGTTCCCCCGCCTCCCGGCCTGGCCGCCAAGCCCTGACCACCGCGTCGCTGAGGAGTTCCGCCCCCCCTCCCCCCCCCCCCCCCCGCCCACCTTTCGTTCGCAGCCAGCAGCAGCAGTGGGAGGAGCCGCAGTCGAGCGCGACGAGCCTGGAGACGCCGCGGAAGCTCTACTTCAACATCAGCTCGGACGTGAAGGACCTCATCGAGTCGGCCAAGGTCCACCTGGACATGTGAGCGAGCCCCAGTCACCGCCGTCGACCTCATTGGTCGCGGACATCGTCGTCGTCATCGTAGCAGCAGCAGCAGCACCGTCGGCTTTGTCGTCCGTGGCCAGCTGAACGCGGTGGCTATGAGATGTTGACTACATCGCCTGGTATACAGGACGTCGTGGTTTCGATGCGGACCCTGACGCCTGCTGCTGCTGTGTATTTGGAAGTGGATTCTTTTTCTCTGGGTCCTCCTCCTCCGAGGGGCCCCACGTGCTTACGTCAAATACAATCCGTCAATGGATTTATTTTTCCTCGGGTGCTTGCGTCTTTTTCCCGTCCGCATTTAGAATCAGCGTCACGCGTTCAGAGTATTTGGCTGCTATGAATTTCCACGTGATAAGCCGGCCACCTCTTTGAGCTGTCGTCTGCGACCAGGTCCGTTTCTGAAAAAGAGCTATATAGCTCAGTGGACCCTTTCCTAGTAAAATAGTTTGGTTTAATAATCTTCTGCACCATCAGCAGCAAGAGCATCTTGATAATTATCAGCAGCAGCAACAGCAGCCAGCAGGAGCAACGTTTGGGACAGCAGTACCATCATCATGGTCATCACAATCATCAGAAACATCAGCAGCAGCATCGTCATAATCATCACCAGCAGCAGGGACCAATTTATCAGCGACGTCCGCATCACAGTCATCGTCACCGTGGGTATCATCATCAGCAGCAGCATCATTACTCCCTGCAGAATTATTGTGGTCATCATCATCGTCATTGTCGTCATTGTCATCTTCATTGTCATCGTCATCATCCTCTTCATTATCAACGTCATTGTCGTCGTCGTCATTGTTATAATCATTGTCATCGTCATCATCGTCATTTTTCGATTTAAAGCTTTCGTGACTGCAAGGATTCATCTTCTTTGGTGCTTTCGGTAAAGTCACGTAGAATGAGAATAAAATAATAAAAATAAAACAATAAAATTCTCACGACGTTTCGGCCACAACACAAGTGGCCTTCTTCAGGTGAAAGGAACAAACCTGTCGGGACGAAAGAACCAAAGAAGATCATCGTCATTGTCGTCATCATTGTCGTCATCATTGTCGTCGTCATCATTGTCGTCGTCGTCATCGTCATTGTCATTGTCATCGTCATCATCGTCGTCGTCATCCCACAGTGCCGTGCGGTGGCGAGGATTAATGCCTTCCGGGCGGACCCCTACAGCCAGGTGGGCGACCTGGACATCCGCTGCCTGATCTACAGGAGGTTCGGCAAGGACTTCCTCAAGCAGCAGGGCCTCAGCCCGGACGCGTTCATCCAGATGGCGCTGCAGCTCGCATACTACAGGTGACCTGTAGTGTGTATGTGGGGGTCACGGGGTGAGTGGGTGAATGAGTGATTATGTAAATCGGTGCGGGTAGGTCGGTGACCGAATGAGTGACGGAGAAGAGGGTGGGTGGGATGAGCGAATGAGTGGCCCAGCGAGTGATTCGGTGATTGGGTGGGTGAGTCCGTCAATGGGTGGATGGTGAAGCGAGTGAGTCGGGGAGTGACTCTGAGCGAGCGGGTAGATGAACTGAGTAAGTGAGTGCGTGAATGAGTGATTGTGTAGGTGGTGGACTGAGTGGGTGAGTGAGTTTCTGGGTGAGCGAGTGGGCGAGCGAGCGGGCAAGTGGGCGTACGAGTGAGCGGCTGAGTGGGTGGGCGAGTGGGCAAGTGAGTGAGTGGGCGAGCGAGTGGGCGAACGAGTGGGTGGGCGTGCGAGTGAGCAGGCGTGCGAGTGAGCGGGCGTGCGAGTGAGCGGACAAGTGAGTGTGGGCGAGCGGACAAGTGAGTGTGGGCGAGCGGGCGAGTGAGTGTGGGCGAGCGGGCGAGTGGGCGAGCGGGCGAGTGAGTGAGCGGGCGAGTGAGTGAGTGGGTGGGTGGGTGGGCAGGGAGGTGAGCAAGCGGCTCTGGTGGCTGTGCGCAGGCTGCACGGTGGAGTGTGCTCCACCAGCGAGAGCGCCACCACGCGGATGTTCCACTTGGGCCGCACCGACATCATCCGCTCCACCTCCTCACACTCGCTGCGCTTCGTGCAGGCCTTCGACAACCCAGACACTCCGGTACATGTTGTTGTGGTTGTGTGTGTGTGCTGGTGATGCTGTTTGTGTGTGTGCTGGTGTGATGTCGTGATCGTGTGCTGGTGACGCTGTGTGTCTGTGTGTGTGCTGGTGACGCTGTGTGTCTGTGTGTGTGCTGGTGACGTGTGTGTGTGTGTGTGCTGGTGTGATGTCGTGATCGTGTGCTGGTGACGCTGTGTGTATGTGTGCTGTTGATGCTGTATATGTGTGCTGGTGACACTGTGTGTGTGTGCTGATGATGATGCTGTGTGTGTGTGTGTGCTGATGATGATGATGATGCTGTGTGTGTGTGCTGGTGACGCTGTGTGTCTTGTGTGTGTGCTGGTGACGCTGTGTGTGTGTGTGTGCTGGTGACGCTGTGTGTGTGTGCTGGTGACGCTGTGCGTCTGTGTGTGTGCTGGTGATGCTGTGTGTGTGTGTGCTGGTGACGCTGTGTGTGTGTGTGCTGGTGACGCTGTGCGTCTGTGTGTGTGCTGGTGACGCTGTGTGTGTGTGTGCTGGTGACGCTGTGTGTGTATGCTGGTGACGCTGTGTGTGTGCTGGTGACGCTGTGCGTCTGTGTGTGTGCTGGTGACGCTGTGTGTGTGTGTGCTGGTGACGCTGTGTGTGTATGCTGGTGACGCTGTGTGTGTGTGTGTGCTGGTGTGATGTCGTGATCGTGTGCTGGTGACGGTGACAGTGTGATATAGTGATGGTGTGACGGTATGATGTCGTGATTGTGTGACGGTGACGGTGTGATGTCGTGATGGTGTGACGGTCACGGTGTGATGGTGTGATGTCGTGACGGTGTGATGTCGTGACGGTGTGGCTTCTGCATTGCACCATCTCAGGACGCCGAGAAGCTGGCGCTGCTGAGGGCGGCGATCCAGACGCACGTGGAGTCCACGGAGCAGGTGAGGAACCGGCACGGGTTAGGGGTAGCGCCGGTGCAAAAGAAGTTCAACATACACACTTACACACACATACACACTTACACACATACACACTTACACATATACACACTTATACACATACACACATACACACTTACACACATACACACTTACACACATACACACTTACACACATACACACTTACACACATACACACATACACACTTACGCACATACGCACATACACACTTACACACATACACACATACACACTTACACACAGACACACTTACACACACACACACACAGACACACTTACACACATACACACACACTTACACACATACACACACACTTACACACACACATACACACTTACACATATACACACATACACACTTACACACATACACACTTACACACATACACACTTACACACATACACACTTACACACATACACACTTACACACATACACACACACTTACACACTTATACACATACACACACACATACACAGATACACACTTACACACATACACACATACACACTTACACACATACACACTTACACACACACACATACACACTTACATACTTACACACACACATACACACTTACACACATACACACACTTACACACTTACACACACACACATACACACTTACATACTTACACACACACATACACACTTACACACTTACATACACACTTACACACATACACAAAGATCCCCCATATAGCCTTAACAGACTGTAGGGGCAAGTGCTGTTAGCGAGCACCTATGAAGGCCGGAACGGTACACAAGGGGGTGGGTGGCCAGCACCACGCCCGACCGCCTTTGTCTCCCTAGTGGCAATGTTTACACACCGCACCAGGTACTCATTTGAGGCTGAGTCGACCTAGGGGAGGCCCGGGACCGGTTCAGATAATCGTCACTGGTGTTGACCATGAGCAGGAATCGAACCCGGGTCGCTAGGTTCATAGCGCAGCGCGCTAACCGTTACACACATACACACACACATACACACATACACACTTACACACTACCCATCGACTAACACTGCCCATAGACCCAACACTGCCCATCGACTCAACACTGCCCATCGACTCAACACTGCCCATAGACTCAACACTGCCCATAGACTCAACACTGCACCATAGACTCAACACTACCCATATACTCAACACTGCCCATAGACTCAACACTGCCCATGGACTCAACACTGTACCTCCGATTAGCGTGATTGGCTACGTACGTTGTAAAAGAAGTTCAACACAGACACAGTTGAGGGGCGGGGGGAGGGGGGGGTGCCTCCCCATTGGCCCTAAGCACAAATTCGTTTTATGGGTCCGACCACCTTTCAAATTACAAACCCCGCGGTGTCTTTTTGCGCACGATGATGTCAGCAGCATGATGTCGAGGAGATCGATGTCCAGTGTCCAGCTCTGCTGCTGCTGCTGCTGCCAGGACAAGAGGGCTTCAGCAGTTTCACTTTTTTCAGCTTTCATTTATTAGGATTTACCCTGTGAGCCAATTCGGCTCTTGATTTGGGTTCAACTGCAACAAACGGTAAAAATTACAAGATGCACCTAAAATTCATGGTACACAAGTCTAAACATCACCACGTACCTCTTCTTTGGTTCTTTGGGTAAAGTCACGTAGAATGATAATAAAATAATAACACACAATAATATTATTGTGTTATTTTATTTTATCAATTTATTATTTTATTATCATTCTACGTGACTTTACCGAAAGAACCAAAGAAGATGAATCATTGCAGTCACGAAAGCTTTAAATCGAAATTTAATCACCACGTACGTAAACAATGAAATACTGCAGAAAAAAGCACAACCCGGTCCATGCTGCGTACAAAAAGTGCGAAAAATTCCATTTCAGCAGACGGAGAGAGAGAGAGAGAGAGTCGTGTTCATCTTCCTCTGTGGGTGTGCTGTTTTGTCCACAGCTCGGGTGGCACGGCCACAGTCTAACCCTACAGGGTTAGCCACTCCCTCGTGTGCCATGCCGGCCTTCGTAGGTGCTCGCTGACAGAACTTGCCCCAACAGTCCTAAGGCTATACAGGGGGGATCTCTTAGGCTTTTGTGTATGGGGAGCGGTGGTGTAGCAGTGCGCTACGGAGCCGGCGACCCGGGTTCGATTCCCGCTCACGGCCAACACCGGTCACGATTATCTGAACCGGTCATGGGCCTTCCGTAGGTCGACTCAGCCTCAAATGAGTACCCGGTGCGATGTGTAGTAAACATCGCCACTCGGGAGACAAAGTCGGCAGGGCGTGTGCCGTTCCGGCCTTCACAGGTGCTGCTCGCTAACAGCACTTGCCCCTACAGTCTGTTAAGGCTACACGGGGGATCGTTGTCTTTGTGTGCGTGCCAGGCTATGATGGGCCAGGCTATAGACGCCCACCTGCTGGGCCTGAAGCTGCAGGCCATCGAGGACGGCCACAGCGTGCCACAGCTCTACATGGACACCTCCTACGCCATCGCCACGCACTTCCGCCTCTTCACCAAGCAGGTGCGGAGCACATCGGGCACAGGTCACAGGTCACGACCCTTAATTGCAGTTTGTATTCTCTAACACTGCCCATAGACTCAACACTGCCCATAGACTCAACACTGCCCGTAGACTCAACACTGCCCATAGACTCAACACTGCCCATAGACTCAACACTGCCCATAGACTCAACACTGCCCATAGACTCAACACTGCCCATAGACTCAACACTACCCATAGACTCAACACTGCCCATAGACTCAACACTACCCATAGACTCAACACTACCCATAGACTCAACACTGCCCATAGACTCAACACTGCCCGTAGACTAACACTGCCCATAGACTCAACACTGCCCATAGACTCAACACTGCGCATAGACTCAACACTGCCCATAGACTCAACACTGCCCATAGACTCAACACTGCCCATAGACTCGACACTGCCCATAGACTGAACACTGCCCATAGACTCAACACTGCCCATAGACTCAACACTGCCCATAGACTCAACACTTCCCACAGACTCAACACTGCACCATAGACTCAACACTGCCCACAGACTCAACACCGCACCTCCGATTAGCGCGGTTGGCCACGTACGGCGGTGCTGACGGAAGGTGACCTGCAGATTACTCAACGACATCGTCCCCCCGCCCCCCCCCCCAGGTCCCCGCGCACATGGAGGCGGTGATGTGCCAGGGGCCGGCGGTGCCCGACGGCTACGGCGTGTGCTACAACCCGCAGGCGGAGCGCGTCTCCATCAGCGTGACGGCGCTGCACTGCTGCCGGCACACCCACGCCTCGGCGCTGGCCCTCGCCGTCGAGGCGGCGTTCGGCGACATGCACGACGTGCTGCTGGCGCCCACGCCGGGCGCCGGCGGTGGCGCCGGCGGCGGCGACGGCGGCGGCGAGGCCGCGGCGCCGCCGCCGCCGCCGCGGCGCGCGCCGTGGGAGGCCACGCGGTGGTGAGCGGCGGTGGCGGCCGAGGTCCTGCTGCGCGACCTCGTGACCTTGCGATCTCGCCACCTTTGCGAGCTCGTAACCTGGCGACCGTGCGACCTCGCGGCCCGGTGACCTTGGGACGTCGCGACGCCGCGACCTCGTAGCCTTGCAACCTTACGGCCTCGTGACCTCGTGACCTTGGGACGTCGCGACCTCGTAACCTCGCGACCTTACGGCCTCGCGACCCTGTGACCTTGGGACATCGCGACGCTGCGAACTCGCGACTTCGTAACCTTGCGACCTTACGACCTCGCGACCTTGGAACCTTGCGACCTTGTGACCTTGCTTGAAGGTAGTGGGAAGGGAGGCGGGGGGGGGGAGCAGTTTACATCAGCGCCACGGGTAGTGGTGGTGGTGGGGGGTGGTAGGCGGGCCGTGGTTTGTCTGCGTCGTGTCGAGGGTTGACCATACTTCACCGCACCGGTCCGTGCCGCTTCGTGTGGGCGGGACCCCCTGTCCACTGCTGGAGCTGCCCTCCGCCCCTTTCCCAACCCCCCCCCCCCCCCTCTCCGGCCCCCCACCACCGCAAGGCGGCGCTCCGTCGGCGAAGATCAGACCGACGTTGCGCTGACGTTTGTCTTCTCGAAGCGCGTACAAAGGTGGTGGTGGGGGGGGGGGAGGGGGATCTGCTAAGCTAAGTTCATCCGAGGAGGTTGGGGGGGGGGGGGTGGGGGGGGTGGTTGGGTGAGGTGGTCCTCAAAGTTTTTTTTGAAGGGTTCTGAATGCGCAGCGAGTTGAGGTGCCTCAGCCGGGCCGCGTCCCAATTTGGTTTCCCACGCTGCATTCGGGCTCGCGTCCAGCTCGGAGGTTCTCGCGACACGAATACCGGTCTGACGTGTCGGGTAGGGAGAGCGCTGCCCCCCCTCCCTCGCTTCCTGGGGCACCCCCCTCCCACCCCCCCCCCCCCCCCCCCCCAGCGGTCGCACGAAGCGGCATCGGAGGAGGTCCTCGACGCCCGAAGGGGACAAATGTTGTCGACGGCGTTTCTCTCTCGCAGCAGTGCCGGGTGGGAAAGTGGCTGTGCAGCCATTGCGTCGCTTGACGCACAAGAGGCGGGGGGGGGGGGGGATCTCGGAGGTGGCTCTGTGATGTCCGCTTCCGCGGGCCGTTCTGTGCGCGCCAGAGCGTCACTTGAAGAAGAAGAAGAAGAAGAAGGAGTAGGGATCTCGGAGGTGGCTCTGTGATGTCCGCTTCCGCGGGCCGTTCTCTGACGAGACGGGAGGGCTGCCGTGCTCTGCGAGATTTCCCCAACGGGTCCCTGGCCTCGCGACGCCGCCGATTGCGCGGTCAGGATGAACGTCGGGCAGAGAGAGAGAGACAGGCAGACAGAAGGGTCGCAAGCGGTTTTTTGGCGGGTTCTGATTTAACTCTTAAAATGCGCGCCTATACGGGGCGGAGGGGGTAAGGGGGGAAGGGGGGAACGGCAGCACGGTGATTAGCGCACCGCGACTCCCGGCCGTGGTTAGGCAAGGTGAAGTCCGAACCGGTGCCAGGACCGACCCCCCACCACCCCCCCCCCCCCCCCCCCCAACGCCTCGCAAGCCTCTCGACCAACCGGCGCCGAGCGGCACGGTTGACGGGCGTTCACGCGACCGGCCAAAACGTCGGCGGGAGGGCCTCCGTCCAGCGGCGGGACTGACCGTGGGTCCCGTGAGGTTTTCGTGGGTTTTTTGTTTTTTTGTTTGCTGCTGCTGCTACACAGGGTGATGCTGTTTGAGTATCGCCGTTAGCGGCCCCGAGCGGGGCACGTGGGGCACGCAGCGGATACGGATGCGAGCAAAGCTCCCGGGGGCTTGCGCGCGAGCAGCCATCGCTGCGCACGAGCGCGGCAAGTGGGAGCGGAGTTTGTTTTCAAAGGGGGCGGCGGCCGCGGCGCGGGGGGAGGGGTTTCGGAGTTGGGGCGGGGGCGGGGGCGGGGGCGGGGGGGCCGTGGCAACGCACAACAGGAGCCGCGTGCAATCGTGGTCGGTGGCGGAGGCTTCGGGCTGATTCCGATAGCCGTTTCCGCGTGACCCCATGCGGCCGCAGGAGAGGCCAGTAGCAACGCTGGCAAGCGTTTTCCGAAAACCGAATTCGCGGCGGTTCGTCGCAGCGGGGGGGGGGGAAGATTTCGTTTCGTCCTGCACGGCCTGCACAGCAAAAACCGGAGGCTGCTGCACTCACCGCGGTATGTCAACGGCGACAAAAATGTACGGTGACGTGTGGAGAGAGAGGGGCGGTGAAGGGCAAGGCTGCCCCTGGCTTTCCGCACCGCCCGCTAGGCTCCGTCGCCGCCGCCGCCACGCTCGCTCGCTCGGTCGCCCGGCCTCGACCACCTCGGGAGGTTGTCGCAGTGGCAGTGGGATATGTAGACCGGAGAGAATCCAATGAGCTGCGAAGCTCTTTTCTCACAGGTGTCCGGGGGGGGGGGGGTGGGGCACAGGCTCAGAATGTTACAACAACAAACGGTACAGGAGTGTTAAAGTATAGGAAAGGTAAACGGATAACTAAAAAAAAACATATCTACAAATAAATCTGAACTTTTTAAAAAATAATTTTACCGGCTAAAGCCCACCGCTGACCGTCACCCTCTTTTTCAGATGCGACCTGGCAATCACAAATGATAGCTCAACGTCAGCGGCTTATCGTCAGCGTCGTGTGGAAATTCGTAGCGGCGGTCAAATGCTCCTAACGCGTGGTGACGTTGATTCTATAAATGTGGAGGAGGGGGGGGGAACCGGAGGTCCCCGAGGGAAAGGAAACAAATCGATGGATTGAATGATTGGACTGGACGTGAGCACGCACACACACGGCCGCTCCCGTGACGCTCCCCGCACGTGATCGATAGCCCAGCGTCACGCTGTGTTGCTACTCCCCCCCAATTCTCCCCCCCCCCCATTCTCCCCCCTTTCTCACCACCCCTCATCCCCCCCACCTTTCCCCCCCCCCCCCCCACCACCACTTCCCCCCACCACTTCCCCCCACCACTTCCCCCCCTCCACTTTCCCCCCACCACTTCCCCCCACCACTTTGCCCCCTCCACTTCCCCCCCACCACTTCCCCCCACCACTTCCCCCCCACCACTTCCCCCCCACCACTTTCCCCCCTCCACTTTCCCCCCACCACTTCCCCCCCTCCACTTTCCCCCCACCACTTTCCCCCACCACTTCCCCCCCTCCACTTTCCCCCCACCACTTTCCCCCCACCACTTTCCCCCACCACTTTGCCCCCTCCACTTCCCCCCCACCACTTCCCCCCACCACTTCCCCCCCCACCACTTCCCCCCCACCACTTTCCCCCCTCCACTTTCCCCCCACCACTTCCCCCCCTCCACTTTCCCCCCACCTCTTTCCCCCACCACTTCCCCCCCTCCACTTTCCCCCCACCACTTTCCCCCCACCACTTCCCCCCACCACTTTGCCCCCTCCACTTCCCCCCCACCACTTCCCCCCACCACTTCCCCCCCCACCACTTCCCCCCCACCACTTTCCCCCCTCCACTTTCCCCCCACCACTTCCCCCCCTCCACTTTCCCCCCACCACTTTCCCCCACCCCTTCCCCCCCTCCACTTTCCCCCCACCACTTTCCCCCCACCACTTTCCCCCCACCACTTTCCCCCCACCACTTCCCCTCCACCACATCCCCCCCACCACTTCCCCCCCACCACTTCCCCCCCACCACTTCCCCCCACCACTTCACCCCCTCCACTTCTCCCCCCACCACTTCACCCCCTCCACTTCTCCCCCCACCACTTCACCCCCTCCACTTCTCCCCCCACCACTTCCCCCCCCACCACTTTCCCCCCACCACTTTCCTCCCACTACTTCCCCCCCACAACTTCCCCCCCCCACCACTTCCCCCCACCTTGACGATCTCGTCCCCGTGCCAAATTCACCGTCGCTTCCGCTACCGCTGCTGGACATCTGTGGGAAAGAGCTTCATAGCTCATCGGATTATTTCCTAACTAATAAATATTCTCGATTCTGGCAAGGCTGCCCAGCGCCGGCCTGGGGGGTGGGAGTGGGGAAATGTTAGAATCTTGGACAATGAGAATATTTCATTATGCTGGAGGAATCTGATGCGCTATAAAGCTCTTTTTGTTCCACACGTCCGGTATGACCGGGTCAGAAGCTGTGCAACTGCAAACAATACAAAAAAAACGCAATCGGAGTACAAAGTAAAGGGAAAAAAAAAATCACGCGGCATATTTTTTTTTAACGCATTTTATTATACCAGGTGAGGCCCACTGAGCACATGGAGCCCCCTTGTCCAGACGCGAGCCCGGGCCATGCCATACGAAGCGGCTCATCATCGTCGCCGTCACGTCGACATTTATAGCAGCGGCCCAAATAACCTTGCCCTCCCCGCCACGCCGCCGCCGCCGCCGGGTTATCCTCCGGCACCGCACCGAGTTTGCTGCGCGGAAGTCTGAAGCGCACCGCGCGTCGCTGCTGACCTCGTCCGCGTGCCCTTGGCTCGAGCGAGCGCGCGAGCGTGTGTGTGTGTGTCTGTGTGACCGCTGGGACGCCGAATGTCAAAATCCAGTCCAGAGTTTAGGGATTTTTTTTTGGCTTGTGCTGTGGAACCGATGATACTGCTGCTTCTGCTACTGCTAATACTGCTACTGCTGCTACTACTGCTGCTGCTACTACTACTGCTACTACTGCTGCTACTACTACTGCTACTACTGCTGCTGCTACTGCTGCTACTACTACTGCTGCTACTACTGCTGCTGCTGCTACTGCTGCTGCTACTGCTGCTGCTGCTTCTGCTGCTACTACTGCTGCTGCTGCTGCTTCTGCTGCTGCTACTGCTGCTGCTACTGCTGCTACTACTACTGCTGCTACTGCTGCTACTACTACTGCTGCTTCTGCTGCTTCTGCTGCTTCTGCTATTGCTGCGTTGCACTCCCGAGAAGGTCGTGCGGCGGATGCGTTCACGTAAAACAAAACGTAAAACAACAAAAGACTTGTTGTGTTTGCGCAGAGACGACCCTGGGGAGACGAGGAAGGTGTAGTGCAGCGGTCCCAAACCTTTTTGCTACCAGGGACCGGTTTCGTGGAAGATAAATTTTTGACGGACTGGGGGTGGGGGGGTCGGGGGGCTTCATCATTGGGTCTTTCCCCTTTTTAAAGAAGCTTTCCAGCGACGTTTGTTTTTGTATTCATTTTAGCCACTGGGGGTTAGAGCTTGTGGGCTTACTCATTGTGGCTACTAGGGGTTAGAACTTGTGGGCTTACTCATTGTGGCTACTAGGGGTTAGAGCTTGTGGGCTTACTCATTGTGGCTACTAGGGGTTCGAGCTTGTGGGCTTACTCCTTGTGGCTACTAGGGGTTAGAGCTTGTGGGCTTACTCATTGTGGCTACTAGGGGTTAGAGCTTGTGGGCTTACTCATTGTGGCTACTAGGGGTTAGAGCTTGTGGGCTTACTCATTGTGGCTACTAGGGGTTAGAGCTTGTGGGCTTACTCATTGTGGCTACTAGGGGTTAGAGCTTGTGGGGCTTACTCATTGTGGCTACTAGGGGTTACAGCTTGTGGGCTTACTCATTGTGGCTACTAGGGGTTAGAGCTTGTGGGCTTACTCATTGTGGCTACTAGGGGTTAGAGCTTGTGGGCTTACTCATTGTGGCTACTAGGGGTTAGAGCTTGTGGGCTTACTCATTGTGGCTACTAGGGGTTAGAGCTTGTGGGGCTTACTCATTGTGGCTACTAGGGGTTACAGCTTGTGGGCTTACCAACACCACGTGACTGAGACTGAGTGCGCAGTGCGGGAAAGAGGCGCGGACGGAAGTGGTAAATAATAAAATAATGGGGGCGGGCCACGTGCGGACTCACCGCTCTCACCTCCTGCTGCTGCTGTGCGGCCCGGTTCCTAACAGGCCACGGCCCGTGACCGGTCCCCTAGTGTAGGCCACTTGAGCCTGGGACGCGACGCAGGCCCAAGTTCCGCACCTCCCGTTAGCGCGGTTGTGCTGCCTACGGTGGCGCGAAAGAAGTTCAACGTCAGTTTAACACGCGCTCGGCTTTCGCGACCAATTTCATCCATAACAGAGGGTTCTATTCGTGGGGGGGGGGGGGAGTTTGATCGCGTAAATATATAAATGTGTCGTTTAAACCCGCCGCCACCCGACGCGGCCAACTTAGTAAGGGTTGTCACGTAAACAGAACGTTGACAATTCGTCACTAGTTGAACGTCCAGAACACACACACGCACGCGGTGTTGTGACAGACAGCGACGATGTTGGGTGGAGTTCGTTCTGCTGCTGCAGTTGCTCAGATCGGCACGGTTGGACTACGTACGGCGGTGAGAAAGAAGTTCAACCTGCAAAGACGAAGATCCCCCGTATAGCCTTTAGCAGACTGATGGGGCAAGTGCTGTTAGCCAGCACCTATGAAGGCCGGTGGGTGGCCAACACCACGCCCGGCCGCCTTTGTCTCCCTAATGGAAGTGTTTGCACACCGCACCAGGTACTTATTTCAGGGTGAGACGACCCAGGGGAGACCCAGGGCCGGTTCAGATAATCGTCACCGGTGTGACACTACACTACCGGGTCCACACGTACACACACAGACATACACACAGACGTACACATACAGACACACACACAGACGTATACACACAGACATACACACAGACGTACACACACAGACATACACACAGACATACACATACAGACATACACACAAATATAAACGCAACCGCCAATCGCCACTTAGTGGCGGTGACGTCATCACGGCGCTTGTGCCAGGCTAGGTGCACACAGACACAAACGCACAAAAAGACAAAGATACCCCATATATTCTGAACAGACTGTCGGGGCAAGTGCTGTTAGCAGGCACACACATACACGCACAACAACAACAACCGCCATTCGCCACTAAGTGGCGGTGACGTCACCACGACGCTTGTGCCAGGCTATGTGCACCCTGAGGCCACGTGAAGTGTCGAACGCCCGCTGGCAGGAGGTCACGGGGCAGACCCAAGTGCCACGGGTTGACTGACTGAGATGACTGGCTGATGCACCACCTGTGCCCCCTACTGTGCCAACCTGCTGTGCTTTAGCCAACCCGGCGCTCCACTCGTTGTTGGGAGCGTCGCTCCTCCGCCCTCCGTTGTTGTTGGAGGGCGACTGCACACACATATACACGTACACACGTACACACACATATATCCACACACACGTACACAACGTCAGCGCCGTGGCGCTGACGTCACCACGGCGCTTGTGCCAGGCTATGTGCACCTTGGGGCCAAACATACACAAAGTCACAGACACATACACGCATACATACACAGACACATATACACGCATACACACACAAAGACACAGACACACATATACACGCGTACACACACACAAAGACACAGACACATATACACACACACAAAGACACAGACACATACACGCATACACACACACAGACACACACACACAAAGACACAGACACAGCTGATGTTGCCAGGCTTCACTCCACCGTTGTTTTTTCTCGCGCTTGTTGCTGCTCCACAGCTCGCCGGTGTGGTCCCCCCCCCCCTTTCTGCGCGTTGTTGTTTGCGGCACGATGTCCGACGTTTCGCTCCACGCGCCGGCGGCGATGCGTCTCGACGACGAACAAGCCTCGGCGCCGCTGCGGACTCAAATTTGTTGTATTTTTTTGCTGCTGCTGCTGATGCTGCTGCTACTGATGGTGCTGATGGTGGTGCTGCTGCTGATGTTGTTCAAAATTGGAAAGCTAAAAAGGCGCTCGGCTCTGACTTTGCGGGCGTCGCGGTCTTCGCGTTGGCGACGTTCACTCGGCTTGGAAGCGCAAGCGACGTTCGACTTTGCCGCGAGAGGAGAATGTTGCTTCTGCGTTCGCTAATAAAGGCGGGGAGGGAAGACGCTGCCCCCCCCACCCACCCCGTTTACTCGACGAAGAGGAAAGCGATGCCGCACAAGCGCCGCTCTCTCTCGTGCTCGCACGCAGCCTGAAGAACGGGGGGAGAGACCATACCAAATCACTCGCACTCTCATTCATTCACTCACACTCACTCTGAACAGCGGGGGTCCATACCAACCCACTAGCACTCATTCATTCACTCTCACTCACACTCAATCATTCACTCTCATTCACTCTCACTCATTCATTCACTCACTCACTGAACAGGGGGGTCCAGACCAACTCACTCACTCTGAACAGGGGGGGTCCATACCAACCCACTCGCACGCTCACTCACACTCACTGAACAGTGGGAGACCATACCAACCCACTCACTCTCATTCATTCACTCTCACTCACACTCATTCATTCACTCTCACTCATTCATTCACTCACACTCACTGAACAGGGGGAGACCATACCAACCCACACTCACTCTCACTCACACTCACTCGCACTCACTCACTGAACAGGGGGAGACCATACCAACCCACTCACTCATTCTCACTGAACATGGGGGTCCAGACCAACTCACTCACTCACACTGAACAGGGGGAGACCATACCAACCCACTCTCACTCATTCATTCACTCACACTGAACAGGGGGAGACCATACCAACCCACACTCACACTCACTCACTCTCACTGAACAGGGGGAGACCATACCAACCCACCCTCACTCATTCACTCTCACTCACACTCCGTCACAATGAACAGGGGGAGACCATACCAACCCACTCAATCACACACACTCACTCTCACTCACACTGAACAGGGGGAGACCATACCAATCCACTCACTCTCATTCACACTCACTCACACTGAACAGGGGGAGACCATACCAACTCATTCACTCACTCTCACTGAACAGGGGGGTCCAGACCAACTCACTCACTCTGAACAGGGGGGGTCCATGCCAACCCACTCACTCTCATTCATTCACTCACACACTGAACAGGGGGAGACCATACCAACAAAGATCAAGGATCCCCCAAATAGCCTTAACAGACTGTAGGGGCAAGTGCTGTTAGCGAGCACCATACCAACCCACTCTCACTCACTCACTCACACTCATTCACACTCATTCACACTCATTCACACTCACTCGCACTCAACTCACTCACACTGAACAGGGGGAGACCATACCAACCCACTCATTCAAACTCACTCTCACTGAACAGGGGGGTCCAGACCAACTCACTCGCACTCACTCGCACTCACTCTCATTCAAACTCACTCACACTCACTCACTTTCACTCATTCAGACTCACTCACACTCACTGAACAGGGGGAGACCATACCAACTCCACTCACTCGCCCTCTCGCACATCAGCAACCCTTACGAACGAGGTCAGACCATACCAACTCCACACTCCTCACACGACAGAGCCGGAGAGTGAACAACAAACCCCCCCCCCCACACACACAAAGGCGCCCGAGACCGCAATCGAACCCAGGCGCATCTTGGTGCGAGGATGACCCCACAGGAACACGCGAGCAATGGCCTGGTGCTGTCCCGCATCAGAATGTGTGTTTATTTGACCAGGAAAGGCACCGCTCAGCTCTGTAGATTTTCTCAGAGGCGACCTGCCCATCACACGTGATGGCTCTACGAAGTGGCTCATCGGCGACATCGGAGGAAAGACGACACGCGACTACGGGGAGAGGCACCGCAAACTCCAAATACACAGCAGGCGTCACGATCGGGATCGAGCCCACGACCTCCTGTACACCAGGCGAAGTAGTTAACATCTAGCCACCGTGATGATGATGAGACGCAAACTCCAAATATACAGCAGCAGGCGTCAGGATCAGGATCGAGCCCACGACCTCCTGCATACCGTGCGAGGTAGTTAACATCTCGCCCGGGACATGCGGCGGTCTCCTGCACCGAGGAACGAGCAGTGACGGCTCACGCGCAGGACGCCTGCGGTAGCCAATCTCGCATCACGTAGTGGCCAGTGGGAGGGGGGGGGGGTATGTGTGTGGGCGCGTGCGTGTGTGCGCGCGTGTGTGTGTGTTGCTTGGGGCGTGCGCGCGTGTGCGTAGGGCTAAGCGCGTGCCTGGGCTGTGCATATCCCTCCGCACATGCACACGCCTCTTCCCAGCATCCACCACATCGCCCCAGCATCCACCACATCGCCCCAGCAGCTGAGGCAGCAGCAGCACCACCACCAACCACCACCGCTCGCTACGGAACCCTCCACGGGACACTTGAGCTCGGGGGGTGGGAGGGTGTGGGCTTCATTCATGGTCTCCGCAATCCGTCCCAAGTGGCGCCCAGAGCACGCGCCGTGGTGGCGTCCGCGTGGCGCTGTCCGTTCAGCACCCGCGTGGCTGCCCTCGCTGCTGCTGCTGCTACTGAGCGGTCCGGTGGGGGCGCCAGGCGGGGCGGCCGCCTTCCAGCTGCACGACACGATGGGCGCCCTGCGAGAGGAGAACGCGGCGCTCAAGGCGAGGGTTGAAAACCTGACCCAGGTCGTGCTGGCGCTCAGGACCGAGTGGTGGAGGGGTGCCCGCAACACAGGTAGACGCCCATACACGGCCCCTGCGGCGTCGTCTCGGCCACCGACGCCACCCGTGGCCTGCAACACACACGAGCTGAATGTTTTGTTACTGGAGGGAATCCTATTTGAGATGTGTTAACTGCCTCGCCTGGTGTGCAGGAGGTCGTGGGTGCGATGCCCGACCCTGACGATGCCTGCTGCTGTATATTTGGAGTCTGTGTGTGTGTGTGTCTCTCCCCGTGGTCGCGTGGAGTTTTCTCCGGGTCCTCCGGTTTTTTTCCATCCACATTTCAGAAATCAACATCACGCGTATAGAGTATTCGACTGCTGCTTTAAATTTCCACGCGATAATGATGATGAGCCCACTCCGTCGAGCTATCATTTGTCGCCAGGTCGCTTCAAGTGGTGCCTTAACTGGCAAAGTAAAACATAGTTTTGTATCATTGTTTTGGAATAATACGACTGAGATGGTACAAACGAGACAATTGGCACAATCAAATCGAGACCTAGAATCGTGACGATTCCTTCCAGTCATCCACAAGAAGTTTTTGTTTGGGGTTAGATGGGGTAAATGTGTCGTCGCTAAACCCGCCACCACCACCACCACCCGACACAGCTCCAATTATTAAGGGTTTGTGCCACGTAAACAAAACGTGCCAATTCGTTACTTGCTCAGCACTAACCGGTTGCGTGTTGGAGAGTCGCTGGGAGCCAGGGAGGTGGAGTGGGGGGGGGGGGAGGTAAATCATCATCAGTCGTCCCGCTCCACGTGTTGCGGGTTAGCTCCTGCGCTGTGCACCCAAGCCGCCTGAGTTCAACTCTCAGCCACGGCTGAAGTCAGCGGCGAATTAAAACCGGTCGGGACGTAGGTCTCGGACCCGGCCTTACACGAGCACTTGCCCCAATTGGTCTATGAAGGCTCTACGGGGGATCTTTGTCTGTGTGTGTGTGTGTAGGGCACGCGGCGGGAAGCAACGCGCTGGCCGCGTGCCAAGACCACGGTCGTCACCACCAGGCTGGGCTCCACAACAGCCCGGGCTCAGCGGGGCCCCGCCTGGCCTCTCCGTGCCACCGCCTCGGCGGCTTCCTTTCCCTCCTCTGCTGGCTGCTCCTGGCCTGTCTCTGAACACCACCGGGACGTCTCCGGAGCGCGCTGCAAGCCAACTCCCTCGATAAGCCCGACAGCACGCGCACGTGTGCACACCTCAACGTCCCTCACCCCCCCGCCCCCCCCCCCCCCCCCCGATCGCCAGTCCCTTCTTTTTTGCTTTTCGTGTTGACCCGCCACAATGGATCGCCGAGGGGCCAAGTGGCCCGTCGCTCGGTGACAAGAGGGCGATCCATTTATAGATCATCAGCAGCCGGGGGATCTTTCCACCGCTGGATGAAGGCCGCCGCCACCGCCGCCACTTCTCACGGCTCCGCAATGTCGCGATCCGATGAGCAGCGCCTGCAACGTGGAATTTTCATCGCTCCATCTCCTACCGCCCCCACCCCCCCCCCCCCCCCCCCCCACGTGATGGGCGTCATCCCGCCCGCCACTCCGCACCAGCCACTCCACACCCGTTATTGAGCATCAGCCCGTTGGCCGTCCTGCCCGATCCGATACTCGCTCGCTCGCTTTCCTTCACACTTTTGAGTGCTGCCATTGAACCTGCGTGTGTGCTCTTAAAATCCGCGTGGCTCCCCATTTGCCGTCTCGCCCAAGCGTAAAACTCGAAAGGCATGCGGCGTCTCTCTCGCTCTCTCTGCAAAACCTTCCAGTTTCATTGTCGTTGGGCGATGACCACGTTTCTGATCCACGTCACCGGCCAAGGATGAATTATAGATATCAAAATTATAGATACCAAAATTATAGATGCCACACGCAAAATGGGTTAAAAAATATAAAAGGTCAGTTGCGATCGAGGGCTATTAACGGGATCACCTGCACACATCTCTCTTCGGTTATTCTCCCCGCAGTCTTCCTTCAAACCCCTTTGAATTTTCCCCAAAATGTAACCGCCACTGCCTCCGTCGCGGCCGCAGCATCACGAGACGGAGAGACCGGAAAATCTCGCTGAGCAGAAGCGGCGACCATCCCCCCCCCCACCCCCCGTGTCATGACGAGACAAACGGCCCGCGGAAGCGGATGTCAAGGAGCTACCTCCCGAGATCCCTTCTTATTCTTGCAGCGAGACTCTGGTCCACGCAGGCAGTCGCGGGCGGAACTTTCCCCGACGCGCTCTGCCACCAGAGTAAAATAAGCAACAGCGTCGACAGCATTTCCAACCCCTCGTAGCCAATTAGCGCGACCGAGATGCGTGCGGCGATCGATGCGATTTGAAAAGGGTTGGACCCCCGTGTGGGTTCATCTGAAACAAAGCAGCGGGTTGCACCGGGCACGTGGGCTGTCCCGTTCCGCCCCCTCGCCACATCGTGACGACGCCGGTGATGATTTTCCAAACATATTCTTGGTTTCTTTCGGTAAAGTCACGTAAATAGAAAACAAAAGATACTAAATAGAAAAATAAAATAAATAGAAAATAATAAAAGCTAAAAAAAACCGTATTCTATTCTTTTTTATTTTCATTTTTTTGTTTGCTATTTACGTTACTTTACTGAAAGAAACCAAGAATATGATTTCCTGCAGCCACAGAAGTTAAGTCAACATTTTCCAACCACTTTAAATCGCGATGCGGCACGCCGCTGCCACCGTCAAGACTCCACCACACACAATATTTAAACATGCGTTTATTTTCCCATTACTGTCCTGCCACTGCTGATTTGTATAAACTCGCTTTTGAAATACACAAATCGCGTTTTTGTGGAATGAATACAAATATTAAACACGACAATAAAGATCCACCCCCCACCCCCCCCCCCACCTCCATCATGGCCTGTAACAAACTGTTGGGGCAAGTGCTGTTAGAGAGCAGCAGGACCTATGAAGGCCGGCACAGCACACGAGGGGGTGGGTGGCCAGCACTACGCACGGCCGCCTTTGTCTCCCCCAGTGGCGTTTTTTTTTTTTACACCGCACCAGGTGCTCAATTGAGGCCCACGACCGGTTCAGAAAATCGTCACCGGCGGCGTCGGTGGCCGCGAGCGGGAATCGAACTCGCCACCGCTCCCCACAAAACGTGCCAGACACCTACCCCCCTCCCCCCCATCCCTTGCACGGACGTCACGGCTCACGACGCCTCAAACAAGCTCCGCAAGGCGGCGCCGCAGTAACACCGGAGCCTCACAGCAGGAAGCGCCTGGGTTCGAGTTCCCACTCGGGTGCCTGTGGCTGTGTGTGTGGGGAGCGGTGGTGTAGCGGTTAGCGCTACGCTGCGCTACGAACCCGGCGACCCGGGTTCGATTCCCGCTCACGGCCAACACCAGTGACGATTATCTGAACCGGTCCTGGGCCTCCCCTAGGTCGACTCGGCCTCAAATGAGTACCTGGTGCGGTGTGTAAACATCGCCACTGGGGAGACAAAGGCGGTCGGGCGTGGTGCTGGCCACCCACCCCCTCGTGTACTGTTCCGGCCTTCATAGGTGCTCGCTAACAGCACTTGCCCCTACAGTCTGTTAAGGCTTATACGGGGGATCTTTGTCTTTTATCTTTGTGGAGTTTGTATCATCTCAGCCGGATCGAGGGGGCTAAACGAGTGCGGCATGGGCTAGAGAAGAGATGGAGTGATGCGGTATGGGAGGACGTGGAGCTGAGTGGACCTTGCCGATGACTGATACCAGCGGTGTCAAGATCGGCCTCTGTGGAGGAGGCTCGTGAAGGACGCTGCTACTGGGCAGTTGGAGGGAGTCGCCCTCCAACAACAACGGGCGGAGGAGCGACGCTCACAACGAGCGGAGCGCCGGGTGGCTAAAGCACAGTAGGTTGGCACAGTATGGGGGGGGGCACAGGTGGTGCATCGGCCAGTCATCTCAGTCAACGCATGGCACCTGGGTCTTCACCGTGACCTCCTGCGAGCGGGCGTCCGACACTTCACGTGGCCTCAAGGTGCACCTAGCCTGGCACAAGCGTCGTGGCGACGTCACCGCCACTTAGTGGCGAATGGCGGTTGTTGTATCATCTCCCTCTGTTGTTCTGCAGAGTGGGGAGTGGAAGCACAGCGGTTAGCGCACCGCGCTATGAGAATGCGGCCGACCTGAGTTTCATTTGCCGCTCACGGCTGACACCAGGACGAGTCCTGAGCCTCCTCTAGGTCGACTCGGCGTCAAACGAGTAGCTGGTCCGACATAAACATCGCTACGAGGGAGACAAAGGCAGCCTCAACAGTCTGTTACAGGGTGCACTGGAATACTTTGTCTCTGTGTAAATGTGTGTAATTTATACCATCTCCCCCTGTTCTACATAATAATTGTTTTTCTCCCTGGGTTTTCTGGTTCCCTCCCATAAGCTAGAAGAGACACAGTGTGACAGCTATTGGCCAAAGCATCTCAATGCTGAAGAATTACCTTCGAATCACCAAACCAGGATCACGTATACAGCAACATCGCCACACCTCACCGACCCCCAGTTGCGAAAATTTGGCAAGGACCCTCTTGAAAGAGAGCCTTGAGAATGGATGAGGCTTTCCCAGTCTCAAAACCACGGATCGCTCGGTAACACCATCAACCGCCCGCTTTGATCAGTCTCCAGCAGCGTTGCGGATTATTCACCATTGAGCCACTCCTCCAGCCGTCCCGCGGCCCGCCCACCAACCTTCACGTGAGCATAGACACGTGGCCGACCTCAAACTCCCCGGCTAAATACCTAATTAGTCTCCCACGTTCGACGGGATAAGTGGAGATCGTCTCAAAAGATCCCTTGCCTGGTGTAACAAATTAGGCTGCACTGCACAGAGGCGGGCTAACCTTGCAGACGGTGGCTAGGAGATGTTAACTACCTCAACTGGTACACAGGAGGTCGTGGGTTCGATCCCGACCCCGACGCCTGCTGCTGTATATTTGGAGTTTGCGTGTCTCTCTCTCATCATCATCACGGTGGCTAGGAGATGTTAACTCCCTCACCTGGTACACAGGAGGTCGTGGGTTCGATCCCGACCCTGACGCCTGCTGCTGTATATTTGGAGTTTGCGTGTCTCTCTCTCATCATCATCACGGTGGCTAGGAGATGTTAACTACCTCGCTAGGTGTACATGGGGTCGTGGGTTCGACCTCGACCCTGACGCCTGTTGCTGTATATTTGGAGTTTGCGTGTCTCTCTCTCTCTCTCCCCGTGGACTTTTTTCTCCGGTTGTTCCCTCCACATTCAACGTGTCTTTAGGGTATTTGGCTGTGCCAATACATTTCCACATGATTATCAGCTACTCCGTTAAGCTATCAATTGTGGCCAGGTCGCTTCTGAAAAAGAGCTTTATAGCTCAGTGGGCCTTACCTGGTAAAATTAAAAGTCTCCAGGACCCGGGGAAAAAAAAATCCACGCAACCACGGGGAGATCATGCAAACTCCGTATACACAGGCGTCATAAGGGTCGGGATTAAACCCACGACCTCCTGCATACCAGGCAAGGTAGTTAACATCTCGCCAGTCACGTCGCTCTGTTGCACCACATGCCACCCCCCCCCCCATTCCAGCGTGCGGTCACCGGGTTCTGGGCCAGCTGACCGACGCTTCAACGACCGCATGTCGAGCCAGCGGGCGCAAGTGAGAGGATGAGGAGGAGGGGGGTGGAAGTGGGACAGCGTGCCGTCGCGGCGATCGCTCGCGACTATAAACATCTCAGGACTATGGTGGGGATCATCAGACTCCACGCCCATCAAGAGTCGCACGGACACCGGGGATGCCGGGGCCGCGAGGTGACGGCGGCCCGGTGAACTTCGGGTCGCGGAGACAATCGGAGGTGCAGGGGGCGCGACCGGCAGGGACCGCGACGGCGCAACGGGAACGCGCGCAGACACGCGACCCCCGTGCGGACCGGCCACGCCACGGCCGGCAAGGCGCCGGCGAATCACCGCCTCCGCTAGACTATGTCCAGGACGCAGTCGTCGCCGAAGGCGGTCGCGGCGGCGGCGGCGGCGGCGGCGGTCCCCGCGACGGAGCGCCGGCGGCCCGAGCCGTCCGATCCCGCCCCGCCGGCGCCGTCGCCGGCGCCGTCGCCGTCGCCGTCCCTCTCGGGCAGGAGGCCGTGCTCGCCCAGGAAGCCCTCGAGGTCGTCGGCGAAGAAGTCGTCGCCCAGCTGGTCCGAGAGGCGCACGAAGTTGCCCACCAGCTCGCCGCCGCGGTACACCAGCAGCGCCGGCAGCGCGCGGCTCGCGAACGCCGCGCTCAGGCCCGCCACGGCGGCGGCTCGCACGCGGCACACGCGCGCCGACGGGTAGCGCGGCGCCAGGCAGCGCAGGCAGCCGTCGAGGGCGGCGCAGGCGGGCACGGCGCCGTCGTACACGTGCACGAGCACCGGCGTGCGCGGGGGGGACTCGTCGACGGCGCGCAGCAGCGCCTCGCCGCCCGGCAGCTCCGTCACGGCGCCGTAGCGGGGGCCCGACGAGAGGCGCCGGCGGAGCTCGGCCATGCGCCGCTCGCGGTACTCGCTCAGGAAGGCCGCGTCGTCGTCGTCGGCGTCGTCGTCCGCGTCCGCGTCGTCGTCGTCCTTCAGGGTCAGCTGAGGAGTGGAGGGGGTGGGGTGGGCGGCACACACGTCACGTGGGAGTGCCGAGATGTTGACGACCTCGCCTGGTGTGCAGGAGGTCGTGTGTTCGATCCCGACCCTGACGCCTGTTGCTGCTGTATATTTGGAGTTTGCTTCTCTCTCTTACCTGGTAAAGTAACAAGTTTTGAGTGACAAATTACGTCTTTATTTACACGCACAGCGGTGTTAACATGTCCACATGTCCAACATGTCCACATGTCCAACATGTCCACATGTTCAACATGTCCACATGTTAACATGTCCACATGTTCAACATGTCCACATGTCCAACATGTTAACATGTCCACATGTTAACATGTCCACATGTTATACATGTCCACATGTTAACATGTCCACATGTTAACATGTCCACATGTTAACATGTCCACATGTTAACATGTCCACATGTTAACATGTCCACATGTTAACATGTCCACATGTTAACATGTCCACATGTATGTTCCCTTCAGGCAACGCCTCGTCACGAGGACGACGGGCTAGGAGATGTGAACTACCTCGCCGTCTGGAACCCTCTTCCTTCCCATAGTAGGAAGCCACTTGACCTGTTCAAATCATCGTCGAGATTGACAAACTCATTTACTTCAAACTGTTTTGCGTTTAGTTTGTTGTCGTTCCCCCCCGCCCCCCCGCGCACCACCAATTGGTGCGATTGGCTACGTGCGGTGCTAAAGACGTTCAACACACAAAGACAAAAAAGGATCCCCATTTTTAGCCTCAACAGACTGTTGGGACAAGTGCTGTTAGCGAGCGGCACCTGTGAAGGCCGGCACGGCACAGGAGGGGGTGGGTGGCCAGCACCACGCCCGGCCGCCTTTGTCTCCCCGGTGGCGGCGTTTACCCACCGCACACAGGTACTCATTCGAGACCGAGCCAACCCTAGGCGAGGCCCAGGACCCGTTCAGACGATCGTCACCGGCGTTGGCCGCGAGCGGGACTCGAACCCGGGTCGCCGGGTTCAAAGCGCAGCGTAGCGCTCACCGCTACACCCACCACCGCCCCCCACCTCCACACACACACACACACAGCCTCACAGATACGCGCACGCACGCACGCACGCACGCACGCACGCGCACACACACAAACACGTGGCACCACCCTTTCAACACCTTCTTGGCGAAGCGCTCCTGCAGCTGGTGCTCGCGGTCGCGCCGCTCGTCGCCGTACGACTGGCAGGTGAAGGCGAGGGAGCGGTGGAGGCGCTCGCGCTCGCGGCGCGCCTCCTCGCGCCCCTCCGCCTCCAGCTGCTTGTAGCGGCGCCAGTCCGCCAGCACGCCCTTGGGGCCTGCGGGCCGAGGGGGGGAGGTGGTGGTGGAGCCACGTCCACGTCATCCGGACCGAATCGCGGCAAATGCGGACGCCTGACGCACCGGTTGGCTACGTGCGGTGCAAAAGAAGTTCAACATACATACGTACGTACTGCGCAAACACACTTACACACACTTACACACAGCACATACACACTTACACACTAACACTGCACATAGACTAACACTGCACATAGACTCAACACTGCCCGTAAACTCAACACTGCCCATAGACTCAACACTGCCCATAGACTCAACACTGCCCATAGACTCAACACTGCACATAGACTCAACACTGCACATAGACTCAACACTGCCCGTAGACTCAACACTGCCCGTAGACTCAACACTGCCCGTAGACTCAACACTGCCCGTAGACTCAACACTGCCCGTAGACTCAACACTGCCCGTAGACTCAACACTGCCCGTAGACTCAACACTGCCCGTAGACTCAACACTGCCCGTAGACTCAACACTGCCCGTAAACTCAACACTGCCCATAGACTCAACACTGCCCGTAGACTCAACACTGCCCATAGACTCAACACTGCCCGTAAACTCAACACTGCCCATAGACTCAACACTGCCCGTAGACTCAACACTGTCCGTAGACTCAACACTGCCCGTAAACTCAACACACACACTTGCACACACACGTACAACAACAACCGCCTTTCGCCACTAAGTGGCAGTGACGTCACCACGACGCTTGTGCCAGGCCATGTGCACCTTGAGGCCACGTGAAGTGTCAAACGCCCGCTGGCAGGAGGTCAAGGGGCAGACCCAGCAGGTGCCATGGGTCGACTGACTGAGATGACCGAGACGACTGGCTGATGCACCACCTGTGCACCCTACTGTGCCAACTTGCTGTGCTTTAGCCACCCGGCGCTCCGCTCGTTGTTGTGAGCGTCGCTCCTCCGCCCTCCGTTGTTGTTGGCGGGCGACTGCCTCCAACTGCCCAGTAGTAGCGTCCTTCACGAGCCTCCTCCACAGAGGCCGATCTTGACACCGCTGGTACCAGTCATCGGCAAGTCCACTCAGCTCCACGTCCTCCTGTACTGCATCACTCCATCTCTTCTCTAGCCCGTGCCACGCCCGTTTAGCCCCCTCGATCCGGCCGAACAAAAGCTGTTTCGGCATGCGGTGGCTGGGCATGCGGGCTACATGACCCAACCAATGCAGCCTTGCCTGCCGGAGGAGCTCACCGATGGGAACTTGTCCAGATCTTTCGAGGATTTGAGCTCCTCACACAATCCAGCCTGGTTAAACCCAGGATCGATCGTAGGCAGGCCAGCCTAAATGTTTCTAACCGGCGAAGATGTTCCATTAGGGGGGGGGGTCCACGTTTCGCAAGCGTAGAGAAGGGAGGCAATGACTGTGTACACACGTACACACACGCGTGTACACAAGCTCACCAGTGTTGCTTGCGGGACCCTGGCAGGAGACGTTGGGGCCCACGCCCTGGGGCCCGTCAGCCGGCCCGGTCCCCGCACTGTCCTCCTCCTCCTCCTCCCCCTCGCTGCCGCTGCTGCTGCTGCAGTAGTACTGCGTCTTCTCTCCCAGCAGCTTATCGTCCAGTGTCGCCATGGCGCTAGCGCTGTGCACCAAAGAGACGTGGCAACGGGGGGGGGGGGGGGGGGGGGGGGCAGTGAATTAGTATTGGCGCTATCGCTCTTATAGTGCCACGGTGACTTGGAGATGTTAACTACCTCGCCTGGTATACAGGAGGCCGTGGGTTGGATCCTGACTCTGACACCTGCTGCTGTATATTTGGAGTTTGCGTGTCTCTCTCTCTCTCATCACCATCACGGTGGCTAGGAGATGTTGACTACCTCGCCTGGTATGCAGGAGGTTGCGGGTTCGATCCCAACCCCGACGTCTGATGAATAATTGGAGTGTATACGTCTCTCTGTCTCTCCCCGTGGTGGCGTGGCAAGGACAACCCCGATCTCAGGCTGTCCCGGTCTCTCCCTGAAGCTTTGTGTGATAAATGTAGTTTTTTCCTCTGTTTACAATTTAATTAAACCCGCCCATAAATGTTGTAGCTATACAATAATTCAAATTATAAACTGCTGCCTTAGCAACCGAGTCAGCAATGATTGACACAGAAACACATTCACATTCACGCGACCACTGATAGATACACCCATAGACTTTCACAGATCAATAGACTCATACAGGACTCACGGAGTGGAACTGGCTTAGCTTTAGAGAGTAAGGATCTATTACAATTTCTCAATGTAATTATTTGACTTCTGACATGATGCTAAACGCACAATGAAGCAATGATAAATTAAGGGGCAAAATTATACGGAAATTACATTTTTAATCACGATACATATATTCTTGGTTCTTTCGGTAAAGTTACGTAGAAGGGAAACAATAAAATAATGAAAATAAAACAATAAAATTCTCACGACGTTTCGATTACAACACAAGCAATCATCATCAGATGATGCAGAATATGAATCCCTGCAGTCACGAAAGCTTTAAATGACTATATGTATGTTTAGTCTTTATACCTACACTCTGTATGCATTATAAGGTTGCACTAATTACACACAAAGCACTTGCCACAAATGAACCACAATAGCTTGCTGATCTCGTCAAAGAACATGGGTCCTCCGGTTTTTACCCCCCACATTAAGAATCACCATCACGCGTTCAGAGTATTTGGAGGCTGCGATACATTTCCACGTGATGGTAAGCCACTTCGTTGAGCAATCGTTTGTGACCAGGTCGCTTCTGAAAAAGAGCTACATAGCTCAGTGGGTTGATCAAATAAAAAATTTGTTTTAGTTTAACACATGGCTACCGCCAAAGAAAGCACGTACGTACGTACGTTGAACTTCTTTTGCACCGTACGTAGCCAACCATGCTAATCGGAGGTGCGGGGGAAGGACGACAAACTAAACACGAAAAGCAATGCTAAACGAATGAGCTTTCAATCTAGACCATTTAAAAGTGCATAGTTCCCAGTGGCTTCCTAATATCGGAAGGAAGAGCGTTCCAGACGGCTGTACAAGCGCGTATGAAAGCGCGCGATGAGGTGACCGTCTTTGTTCAACGGCCGAGCCAAAAGTGCGCTGCTACTGCGAGGATGAGCGGAGTTCACGTGACGGTTTATGCTTCTTGATGACCGGAGTAAGACATTGCACACGAGCACACACCAACAACAAACACAAAGATCCCCTCCACTACAGCCTTTAACAGGCTGCTTAGGAGTCGCCCGTGAGCGTTTAACGGACGCAGTCGGCGGTAATCGTCGCGGCGAGGGGGCGATGCTGTTGCTGCTGCTGCTGCTGCCGTACGCCCAGTCGCAACCGAGACATTCGCGGGGGGCGATTTGGACCGTGGCACGCCGTGGCACAACCACCGACTCGTTCCGGGGAGGATCTTGAACGCCCGCCGTGAAGCAGACGCGGCGCCAAGTGTGACGCTTAATCGCAGCCACCGCGGTGGCGATCACGCGGGCCTGCCGGAATCGAACCACGGGCGCCTGCAACAAGCGGCCGAGCGCGCGACCGCAGGGCCAAGAGTGTGACAACGATACCGCACCTCGCGCCCGATACCAGCACACACTCACACGCTCACAACGCTCACAACGCTCACAACGCTCACAACGCTCATACCGCTCACAATGCTCACAACGCTCACACGCTCACGACGCTCACGACGCTCACAACGCTCACAACGCTCACAACGCTCACAACGCTCACAACGCTCACAACGCTCACACCGCTCACACGCTCACAACGCTCACGACGCTCACGACGCTCACACGCTCACACGCTCACACGCTCACACCGCTCACAACGCTCACAACGCTCACAACGCTCACAACGCTCACAACGCTCACAACGCTCACAACGCTCACATGCTCACGACGCTCACACGCTCACGACGCTCACGACGCTCACAACGCTCACACGCTCACACGCTCACACGCTCACAACGCTCACGACGCTCACAACGCTCACAACGCTCACAACGCTCACACGCTCACAACGCTCACACCGCTCACACGCTCACACGCTCATGACCCTCACGACGCTCACAACGCTCACACGCTCACAACGCTCACACGCTCACAACGCTCACAACGCTCACACCGCTCACACGCTCACACGCTCACACCGCTCACACGCTCACACGCTCATGACCCTCACGACGCTCACAACGCTCACAACGCTCACAACGCTCACACGCTCACACGCTCACACGCTCACAACGCTCACACGCTCACAACGCTCACACGCTCACAACGCTCACAACGCTCACACCGCTCACAACGCTCACACCGCTCACACGCTCACACGCTCATGACCCTCACGACGCTCACAACGCTCACACGCTCACAACGCTCACAACGCACACAACGCTCACACGCTCACACGCTCACAACGCTCACAACGCTCACACCGCTCACACGCTCACACGCTCACGACGCTCACAACGCTCACACGCTCACAACGACGCTCACAACGCTCACAACGCTCACAACGCTCACAACGCTCACAACGCTCACACCGCTCACACGCTCATAACACTCACGACGCTCACGACGCTCACGACGCTCACAACGCTCACAACGCTCACAACTCTCACAACGCTCACAACGCTCACAACGCTCACACGCTCACGACGCTCACAACGCTCACAACGCTCACACGCTCACGACGCTCACGACGCTCACAACGCTCACACGCTCACACGCTCACAACGCTCACACGCTCACAACGCTCACGACGCTCACACGCTCACAACACTCACAACGCTCACAACGCTCACAACGCTCACACGCTCACAACGCTCACAACTCTCACAACGCTCACACCGCTCACACGCTCACAACGCTCACACGCTCACAACGCTCACAACGCTCACACCGCTCACACGCTCACACGCTCACAACGCTCACACCGCTCACAACGCTCACAACGCTCACAACGCTCACAACACTCACACGCTCACAACTCTCACAACGCTCACAACGCTCACAACGCTCACAACTCTCACAACGCTCACAACTCTCACACCGCTCACACGCTCACAACGCTCACAACGACGCTCACACGCTCACGACGCTCACGACGCTCACAACGACGCTCACAACGACGCTCACAACGACGCTCACAACGACGCTCACACGCAGCACGAGGACGACGCAGCACTCGCGTGGGTACGGCGCTGCACAGGCGTGGGTACGGCGCTGCACAGGCGTGGGTACGGCGCTGCACAGGCGTGGGTACGGCGCTGCACAGGCGTGGGTACGGCGCTGCACAGGCGTGGGTACGGCGCTGCACAGGCGTGGGTACGGCGCTGCACAGGCGTGGGTACGGCGCTGCACAGGCGTGGGTACGGCGCTGCACAGGCGTGGGTACGGCGCTGCACAGGCGTGGGTACGGCGCTGCACAGGCGTGGGTACGGCGCTGCACAGGCGTGGGTACGGCGCTGCACAGGCGTGGGTACGGCGCTGCACAGGCGTGGGTACGGCGCTGCACAGGCGTGGGTACGGCGCTGCACAGGCGTGGGTACGGCGCTGCACAGGCGTGGGTACGGCGCTGCACAGGCGTGGGTACGGCGCTGCACAGGCGTGGGTACGGCGCTGCCAAACACTTGCACGGAACGACGAGAGAAGCGCACGTGCACGGTCGCGGTACCGCACGGAGAGAGCACGGCACAGGGCGCGCGTGAACGCAGAATGGCGTGTCAGGGTGCACACGTGGGGCACTGCAGACTATTGCAAACGTACACACGGCACGGTACGCTACACGCACACATGCACGGTGCAACGCAGCGTGGTGCACGCGGTAACACACACAGCAAAAAATAACAGCGCAATGCAGTGCACACACAAACCATACAATAGAGCAATGACAAAGATCCCCCATGTAACCTTAATAGACTGGAGGGGCAAGTGCTCTTCGCGAGCACCTATGAAGGCCGGCACGGCACACGAGGGGGGGGGGGGGGGGGGGGGTGGGTGGGTGGGTGGCCAGCACCACGCCCGGCCGCCTTCGTCTCCACCCGTTGCACCAGGGCCTCATTTAAGGCCGAGTCGACCTAGGCGAGGCCCATGAACGGGTTTAGATAATCGACACCGGTGTTGGCCGCGAGCGGGAATCGAACCCAGGTCGCTGCGCCACCGCTCCAATATCACCGCGGCTCGAACACAGAGGCCACTCACCAACGCGCACCGTCACACCCACTCTCTCCCGACTCTCTCCCGACTCTCTCCCGACTCTCTCCCGACTCTCTCCCGACTCTCTCCCGACTCTCTCCCGACTCTCTCCCGACACGCTCGTCTCGTTCGACCGACGAGGGCCGTCTCTCACCGTGGCGGCGTCCCACGGTGCTCGCGGTGAACGTGGAGAGGCGGCTCGGAGGGAGCGACGGGGAGAGAGAGAGCGATCGCGCGGAGGCGCCCGCCGCGTCGTCCGTCACGTCGTCCGTCACGTCGTCCCGGACAGCGGCGTCTGCGGCAGATGGCGAGGGATCAACGGTGGCGTTGGCCCCCCGGATTACCGAAGCGCAATCCTGTGGGGGGGGGGGGCGGGGAGAAGGGGAGAGAGGATCCATTAACGTTAAGAGCGGCTGTGTGATCTGTACAGTGCGTGGAGGAGCGGTGGTGTAGCGGATAGCGCGCCGAGCTACAGAGCTGGCGACCCAAATTCAATTCTGTCTGGAACGCTCTTCCTTCCGAGATTAGGACGCCGCTTTTTAAATCTAGACGTACAACACACATACGTACATTCCCACTAAAGACTAACACCAGTGAGGATATCGGAATCGATCCTGGGTCTCCCGCCTAGGTCGACCGGCCCTCAAATGAGCACCTTGTGCGGTGTGCAGAAACATCGCCACCGGGGAGACAAAGGCGGCCGGGCATGGTGCTGCCGACCCACCACCCTCGTGTGCCGTGACGGCCTTCATAGGTGCTCGCTAACAGCCCTAGCAGTCTGTGCAAGGCTATACGGGTTGGTTCTTTGTCTTTGGTGTGTGCTCATTGCACAAGTCTGCTGCCCTAAAGCACAAATTAAAAAAGCAATCGCCACGTTCGTCTTTTTTGCCAATTTTTCCCCCCCCGCCCCCCCAAAGGTCACCGCCGTTGGGGTACCCTGCGTCACGTCACGAGGTGAAGCATCCATTCGAATCCCTCGTACAGCAAGCAGTGCCAGCGAGCCGTAACGTTGCATACAGGCCGCTGATCGTATACCACAGAGCTGCCTCTGAGGTCCCGCGGGTCCAGTGACCCTCTGGTCCACACACCCCGTACGGTGAGTAATGGTCCTCGCATGACAATAAATGCAACACAGTTTGATCGTCGATTATCCGGCACCCCGCGATTATGCGGCTGCTTCCAACATCATTTGGCGGTCCCGGGCCGATCCGGGCAAAACCACTCCAAAGGCTGTAGCCCAGTCCGGCAATCGGCACCGCGCGAGCGACGGAAAAAGTAGCTACGCTTGATTTCAGTGTCAAATATTATATACGGTACATTATACACTGCATACCACGTAGCCAATGAAAATACTGCACGTGTTTACATCACCCCATGGTGCAGAGTATATTTATGTTTGTCCAATAGTGTGCTTATTTATGCCAATCTGACTCCATGAACACATTTCAAACACATATAACAACACCGAAAAACATAACGTCATGCAAGAATGTGCAAAAATAAGCTATTTTAAATCATTAGGATTTGGTGATTATCCGGCGTTTTAAAAAAACCCGGCGCCGCCCCCCGTCTCCCAAAAGCCACGGGATAATCGATGATCTAGGGTTGCTTTCGATCAGAGAACCGCAACCATTTTCATTGTACTTTATGCAGCGAATTGGTAACCAGGGCTGGCCGAGACGGTCAACTCACTTACAATTGAGAACCCGGTTTTCAATCGCAGACGGGCTACCACACGGTCGTCTTTAACAATGCCTCGCGACAGAAACACACGTGGCACCTAACGTTTCGGGGGCGTTCGCCCCTTTTACAGCGGGCCTGGCTCTACCGGCGTTAACGCCTGCACAACAATTTTTCTTATTCATCCACAAGAGCCGGACTGAGTGTTAGGAATCTTTTATTTTTGATAAGTGTCTTGTATTTGGTTATTTTTATATTCCAAGATGTTTTTAATTAGCCAATTTTACGATTAGTGTTCTTATACACCCGGAGCGATCGGAGAATACCCTCGTGTGCAAGGGGGCAATGCTCTATCCCCATATAAATGAAAACAGATGGCGATTATAGTCCACTCAGTGTGTTGCCATCTGGTATACAGTAGGTCATGGGTTCGATCCCGACCCTGACGCCTGTTGTATATTTGGAGTTTGCGTGTCTCTCTCTCATCATCATCACAGTGGCTAGGAGATGTTAACTACCTTGCCTGCTATACAGGAGGTCGTGGGTTCGATCCCGACCCTGACGCCTGCTGTTGTATATTTGGAGTCTGTCTGTTTCTCTCTCTGCGGTCGCGTGGATTTTTCTCCGGGTAACTCCGGTTTCTCCCTCCACATTTAGAGTATTCGTCCGCTATACATTTCCACACGATGGTGATAAGCCACTTCGTTGAGCTATCACTTCTGGTCAGGTGACTTCTGAAAAAGAGCTAGACAGCTCAGGTGGTCCTTACCTGGTTATAAAATATCTTCTTCTTTAAGTGCTGAGTTTAAGTTTCCCATATTGCACCTCCATTTGTACGATCCGCCAATAAAGATTATTCACGATTAGCAGTAATGAGGACAAGATAGCTCACCCACACGAGCACCATCCACAGTACCTCACCCTGCTGTTTGCCCGCTCGCTTTGCCCGACTATTCACGCACCCCACACCTCACCTGTTCACCCAGCTACCTACCAACTCACCCGGCCTGTCTGCTTACCCTTAATTAAAATTGGGAATATCTTATTTTCTTCTCGGGGAGAGTAAATATGAAACTCCGTAAACATTGCTTTGTTTTTACATTCCAGTATATGGCGGCATCCTGGGCAGACCTTAATCCAGCAGTGAATTGACCACGGCACCTCCGATTAGTACGGTTAGCTGCGTACGGTGTGAAAGAAGTTCAACATAATGTACATACATACTGCCCATAGACTCAACACTGCCCATAGACTCAACACTGCCCATGACTCAACACTGCCCATAGACTCAACACTGCCCATAGACACAACACTGCCCATAGACTCAACACTGCCCATAGACTCAGCACTGCCCATAGACTAACACTGCCCATAGACTCAACACTGCCCATAGACTCAACACTACCCATAGACTCAACACTGCACCATAGACTCAACACAGCCCATAGACTCAACACAGCCCATAGACTCAACACTGCACCATAGACTCAGCACTACCCATAGACTCAACACTGCACCATAGACTCAACACTGCACCATAGACTCAACACTGCACCATAGACTCAACACTGCACCATAGACTCAACACAGTCCATAGACTCAACACTACCCATAGACTCAACACTGCACCATAGACTCAACACTGCACCATAGACTCAACACTACCCATAGACTCAGCACTGCCCATAGACTCAACACTGCACCATAGACTCAACACCGCACCTCCGATTAGCACGGTCGGCTACGTGCGGTGCGAAAGAAGTTCAACGTACTGAAACTGCACGTACAGTACTAGAACCATGACATCGTTCGTGACTAAGCCTCTTCTGCTGATGCCGAGCCATGGACGCGAATTCAGTGCAAGGCCGTCAGTCTCTCTCTCTCGTGTGCTCGGCCGCACGTGTCTCTCTCCTCGTGCCTCGTTGTCTCTCGGCCTGCCCTCACCCGTCTCTCGTGTCCACCTCCATGTCTCTCCGCGGTGTTGACACGACCGGGAATATGCAACGAAACTTTTTTTTTTTAAAAGAGCTTTATAGCTCATCGGATTTCTCCGGGCTTAACATTGTTTTGTTGTTGTTAGAATCTCCCGATTCTGTATAAATCTCCCGATTCTGTATAAATCTCTGCCGTCTCTTTGAGTGTGCAGGGCCCGGCCACGCAAATCCGCCCGCCTGGCCACCCTCCAGGTAAGCGCCGGGCACGACGAAGACCTCGCGATGACCGACGGGGGAGCTCCGATCCACGCCGCCGCCGCCGCCGCCGCCCCTCAACACCGGCCCGGCAGGAAGCCGCTAGGAAAATCGGGAGGCTCCGACGGGGTTTAGGCCCAGGCCAGGCCCCCGCGGCCGCCGCGATGGGCGATAATTTATTTTAAAATAAAAATTGTTATTATTATTAGTAACAGAACGAGACACACAACAACACACACAGCAACACAACCAACGGAAGCGTAGAGAGAGAAAAGATAAATTTTAAAAAAAATACCTCCTCACAGTTTGAAGGGCGGATCGATAAGGGTGGAGAGGAAGGAGAGAGGGGCGGGGCTGTGAGGCTCGCGAGGTGGGGGGGAGGGGGGAGGCTGCCGCTCAGCGCCCACGTCAGTGGTGGGGGGGAGGTGGGGGGGGGAGGGGGGGTGGGGGGGAGGGGGAGGTGGGGGGGGTAGGTTTGGGGGAGGGAGGGGGTGAGGAGGTGGGGGGAGAGGGGGTGGGCTGACAGGAGATGGTGGGGAGGAGGTGGTGGGGGGAGAGGAGGTGGGCTGAGAGGTGGGGGAGAGGAGGTGGGGCGAGGAGGGGGGAGGAAGAGGTGGGGGGGGGATGAGGTCGGCTGAGAGGAGGTGGGGGGGGTAGGTTTGGGGGAGGGAGGGGGTGAGGAAGTGGGGGGGAGGAGGTGGGGGGAGAGGAGGTGGGCTGACAGGAGATGGTGGGGAGGAGGAGGTGGGGGGGGGAGGTTTTGGGGAGGGGGGAGGGAGGGATGAGGTGGGGGGAGAGGAGGGAGGGAGGAGGTGGGGGGAGAGGAGGTGGGCTGACAGGAGATGGTGGGGAGGAGGTGGGGGGAGGAGGTGGTGGGGGGGAGAGGAGGTGGGCTGATAGGAGATGGTGGGGAGGAGGAGGTGGGGGGGAGGAGGAGGTGGGGGGAGAGGAGGTGGGCTGATAGGTGGGGGGGAGGAGGGGGGAGGAAGAGGTGGGGGGGGTAGGTTTGGGGAAGGGAGGAGGTGGGGGGGAAGGTTTTGGGGAGGGAGGGAGCAGGTGGGGGGAGAGGAGGTGGGCTGACAGGAGATGGTGGGGAGGTGGGGGGAGGAGGGGGTGGAGAGGTGGAGGAGGTAGCGAGGAGGAGGTGGGGGGAGCCTCTTCCTCCTCGCGGGCAAGCGCGCTGCGCGAGACATGGCGACCGCCAATTCCCATCAACGCGGCCACCGAAATGTTGACAGTCGATCTCCCTGGTCTCCAGGGCAACAACAACAACAACACGAGGGGGCGAGGCACGGTGGCTAGGAGATGTTAACTACCTCGCCTGGTATACAGGAGGTCATGGGATCCACCCCGACCCTGACGATGCCTGTTGTATATTTAGAGTTTGCGTGTCTCTCTCTCATCATCATCACGGTGGCTAGGAGATGTTAACTACCTCGCCTGGTATACAGGAGGTCGTGGGATCCACCCCGACCCTGACGATGCCTGTTGTTTATTTAGAGTTTGCGTGTCTCTCTCTTTCCCCGTGGCCGCGTTGACTTTTTCTCTCTGGGTCCTGCGTTTTTTTCCCCCCTCCACATTTACAATCAATATCACCACGCGTTCAGAGCATTTGGCTGCTGAAAATGTCCCACACGATCATAGGCCACTTCGTTGGGCCATCATTTGTGGCCAGATCGTCCTCGTTACCCGGTGAAAATCTAAGTAATTCGCTGACAGAAGATCCCCCCTGGGTTTGAACTTTCGGGAGGCTGCTCGTTGTCCACCCCCAGAACCGCATCACCCACTGCACAAATCGTGACAACAACAGCAGCAGTAGCAGATGATACCTCGATGCACAAGTTGACAATGCTATGCAACACGATGTTTGTTCCTGGGGTAGTAAGTGTTATTGTCCAATTGCCTATGCGTCAAAAGTACGGAAAATGGCTCTTATTATTCCCCGCAAACTTTGCTTTTGTGACCAGGACTTTACTTGAAGGAATGACACAAATTCGCCCGTTTTCTCATTGACAATAGGTGGATTTCAAAATATCACTGTCCTGGTCACAAAAGCAATATTTGTGGGGAATAATAATAGCAGCCAATTTTCCGTACTTTTGCGGCATGAGCAATTGGGAAAATAACACTTAATACCCAGGAACAAAAAAATAAAAAATATATATAGTTACACAGTGAAATTAAAAAATCTCCATCGTGCGACTGTGGTCATCCAGAACAGAGGCCGAACAACGCGGAACGACGCAGGCCCCGGGTCCACAGACACGAAGGAGGAGACATCGCAGCGACGACGACGACGATGATGATGATGATGATGACACAACAACTCCGCTGTCTCCTGACGCGATTGTCTGCTGGTTTCACCGCCTGAATGTGACTTTGTAAGCTGCTGCCTCTACATCAGCAGTCGTACGACAGAAGAAGAGACTCATAGAGACCCATAGAAATCCAGACTGATAGAGACTCACAGAGACACACAGATACCCATCGAGATCCAGATTCATAGAGACTCACAGAGACTCATAGAGACCCATAGACATCCAGACTCAGAGACTCACAGAAACACACAGATACCCATAGAGATTCAGATTCCTAGAGACTCACAGAGACTCATAGACACCCATAGAGATCCAGACTCAGAGACTCACAGAGACACACAGATACCCATTGAGATCCAGATTCATAGAGACCCACAGAGACTCAGACACCCATAGAGATCCAGACTAATAGAGACCCACAGAGACTCATAGATACCCACAGAGATCCAGACTAATAGAGACCCACAGAGACTCATAAATACCCATAGAGATCCAGACTAATAGAGACTCAGAGAGACACACAGATACCCACAGAGATCCAGATTCATAGAGACTCACAGATACTCATAGAGACCCATAGACATCCAGCCTCAGCGACTCACAGAGACACACAGATACCGATAGAGATCGAGATTCATAGAGACTCACAGAGACTCATAGACACCCATAGAGATCCAGACTCAGAGACTCACAGAGACACACAGATACCCATAGAGATCCAGATTCCTAGAGACTCACAGAGACTCATAGACACCCATAGAGATCCAGACTCAGAGACTCACAGAGACACACAGATACCCATAGAGATACCAGATTCATAGACACTCACAGAGACTCATAGACACCCATAGAGATCCAGACTAATAGAGACTCACAAAGACTCATAGACACCCATATAGATCCAGACCTATAGAGACCCACAGAGACTCATAGATACCCATAGAGATCCAGACTAATAGAGACCCATAGAGACTCATAGACACCCATATAGATCCAGAACTATAGAGACCCACAGAGACTCATAGATACCCATAGAGACCCAGACTTATATAGACTCACATTAGAGACTCATAGATACCCAGAGATCTAGACTAATAGAGACGCACAGAGACTCAAATACCCACAGAGATCCAGACTAATAGAGACCCACAGAGACTCAGAGACCTCCATAGAGATCCAAAGACTCATAGAGACCCATAGAAACACATAGACTAATAAAGACACCACAGCAATGATGATACAAAGGGCCGTCCATAAATGACGTCACGCGATTTTGGACGATTTTTGACCCCCCCCCCTCGTCACACGGCGTCACAAAAAGTCAGACCCCCCGCCTCAAATATTACGTCACAAAGCTCTGCCCCCCCCCCAAAAAAAATATATAAAACATGCTTCAAATCGCTTTAAACTATTGTCATTGTAGTGCTTATTTAATGTTGCGCTGCACTCTGATGTTGTAGGAGAAAACATTTATCAAAAAGTATATTTAATTAACTAGAACGTGTTGTCTATGTTTATTTAAAGTTGCGCATTTTGATGTGACGTCACATTTATCACCCCCCCCCCCGTCACACATCGTCACAAATGTCTGACCCCCCCCCCCCCCCGAAGTGCGCGACGTAATTTATGGACGGCCCCAGAGGCTCAGACACCCATAGAGATCCATAGAGATCCAGACTAATAGAGACCCATATAGACTCATAGACACCCATAGAGATTCAGACTCATAGAGACTCACAGAGACTCACAGATACCCATAGAGACCCAGACTTATATAGACTCAGAGAGACTCATAGATACCCAGAGATCCAGACTAATAGAGACGCACAGAGACTCAAAGACACCCATACGGTGAGGGAAAAAAGGATTTGATCCCCTGCTGATTTTGTACGTTTGCCCACTGACAAAGAAATGATCAGTCTATAATTGTAATGGTAGGTGTGGGAGACAGAATACCAACAACAAAATCCAGAAAAACGCATGTCAAACATGTTATAGATTGATTTGCATTTTAATGAGGGAAATAAGTATTTGACCCCCTCTCAATCAGAAAGATTTCTGGCTCCTAGGTGTCTTTTATACAGGTAACGAGCTGAGATTAGGAGCAGACTCTTAAAGGGAGTGCTCCTAATCTCAGTTTGTTACCTGTATAAGCGACACCTGTCCACAGAAGCAATCAATCAATCAGATTCCAAACTCTTCACCATAGCCAAGACCAAAGAGCTCTCCAAGGATGTCAGGGACAAGATTGTAGACCTACACAAGGCTGGAATGGGCTACACGACCATTGCCAAGCAGCTTGGTGAGAAGGTGACAATAGGTGGTGCGATTATTCGCAAATGGAAGAAACACAAAATAACTGTCAATCTCCCTCGGCCTGGGGCTCCATGCAAGATCTCACCTCGTGGAGTTGCAATGATCATGAGAACGGTGAGGAATCAGCCCAGGACTACACGGGAGGATCTTGTCAATGATCTCAAGGCAGCTGGGACCATAGTCACCAAGAAAACAATTGGTAACACTACGCCGTGAAGGACTGAAATCCTGCAGCGCCCGCAAGGTCACCCCTGCTCAAGAAAGCACATATACATGCCCGTCTGAAGTTTGCCAATGAATATCTGAATGATTCAGAGGATAACTGGGTGAAAGTGTTGTGGTCAGATGAGACCAAAATGGAGCTCTTTGGCATCAACTCAACTCGCCGTGTTTGGAGGAGGAATGCTGCCTATGACCCCAAGAACACCATCCCCACCATCAAACATGGAGGTGGAAACATTATGATTTGGGGGTGTTTTTCTGCTAAGGGGACAGGACAACTTCACCGCATCAAAGGGACGATGGACGAGACCATGTACCGTCAAATCTTGGGTGAGAACCTCCTTCCCTCAGCCAGGGCATTGAAAATGGGTCGTGGATGGGTATTCTAGCATGACAATGACCAAAAACACAC